AGCACTTGATATGGTGTATACATATTATATAGTCTATCCAACGAGTGAATAAATGATGAATGACAGACATTAATCTGTCATTTTAAGTCATAGGTAAATTAAATTTTTTGTCATTTTTGGGATATCTGTCAAAATCTATCCTGGCTTCAATAGACTTAAGCTTCATTCAGAACCTCGCAATTAGTGTTTTCAATTAGCGTAGAAGTTTGTTCCTTTAATTTCAATGTAAGCATTCAGAGATTCAGAACGTCAAAATTAGTGGTAGATATTTTCAATTGGTAGAAAAAGTTGTCAAACTTCTAACTTTTCCACTAATTATACTTCAAAATTTACGAGAAATGTCATTTTGACTTTTTGTTCTCTTCCGTCAAGAGAAACTGCACTGAAAAAAAGGATCTCTCAGTCGAAATGAATATGACTTTGACCCAAAAGATTGGCGCTTTTCAATAGGGCCAAGAACGACGTTTCTTTGCCCAAAGCATTAACTATCTTTTCATAAGCTTTAAAAAATTACTTTAGAGAATAGAAAAATCTATCTGTCCAAAGTATTTCACTCTTGACCCAAAATTAATATGCAAAGAAGTTCTTGCTACAAGAACAATACACTACAAGTCAATACTACAAGTCTTTTTGATTCATGCAAAAATTCTTGATTGAAAAGGGACATTTCTTGATTAAAGAGACACTTTTCTTAAACCAATAGCGAATACCATTGACTCAACTAAAATTTATTTTGATCTAAGAGAAGTCTATACATCATATACAGGCATATTACGAGGTATATTATTTTCTGATAAATTTAGGTTTTCCTGGTCTGTAGTAAGTAAAGTGATATTATTTTCCTCGATAGTAGTTATTTCTGCTTCTTCACTTCTTGGTACTTTTTGGGGTGGTTCATCACTCTACAAATTACAAAAAAATGTTATTACGATTAATCAAAGTAAAGCAAACAAACTATTAAAATTATAAGCTTTGGTCACATTTTGAATTTTTTAATACGACGCGACGACTTGAAATTCTAAAATTTTTGTAATTATTTGCAGAAAAAAATCGATACCTATATTCTTATTCTATCTATAGTCACGCATGCATTATCTAAACAGGTGCATTAGGTAAATATCTCTTACCTTCAAATATAGCAAATAAATGCTCTAATTTCCATTTTTTCAGAAACTCCTTTAAAGAATCCATATATCCTAAAATTTATCCATAAAAAATGACAAATGCATGTTAATAACGATCACTAATTTACGATATGCTTTTAAAAAGCAAATTATGCAAAATTCCAACTGGAAAATTCCAAGCAACAAAACCCGTGCGTACTATGATGTGCCTATGAAATGCGACGTGCGACTGATCGGACTGCCGACTGATTGTATATACCATCCTTCGTCATCGTCTTTGCGTGTCGTTATTATTTTTCATCAAAAGAGTATTTAGCTATTGGAAAAATGGCCATGTTTCTTGAGTGAAGTACTTCGTAGCGTATTTTTGTTATTATCTTAAAACAAAGTAACTTGCACTTGGTTGAATGAAAATAGATTCAAGAGAAATTTTCGAATTTATCAAGAGAACAAGTTTTCTTGAGTTAAGCGAGTTTTTCTTCAGGCAAAATATTTTCTTTTACGCTAAAATAAATTCTCTTGCCACTATTTTTTTTTCAAGAACGATGACGACTTTAGTTCAAGTCTATCTTTTTTATCAGTATGGGCTTTATAAATCATAAGTTGATTGTTTTATAAGCTAAATATTAGGTTTTCTCTATGGATACAACTGACTAACGCAAGTTGTTGCTAGGATATTCTATTAATTTTAATTATGTTTTTTAAACATTGTGAATGATCGTAATCTAAAAAGTATAAAGTGTAATTGAAACCACTAATTTATTCCACTAATTACGAGGTTCTGAATGAATCTTTAGAAAGAAAGTTGATATAATAATGAAATATATCATCTGTGACTATGTGACAATTTTATTTTATTAAAATCTGATGACCATAATGTTTCATAAGAAATTACGAAATTTATTATTGTATTTTTTAATCAAATATATGTAAATATGATAATATAGCCTCGTGTATGGCAGAATGAAAATAGCTTTCTTTTTGTGCATCATAAATTAAAAGATGTCGGCATCATCAGCCTTCAGACAATTTTACTTCCTAGTGAGAAGAGAGTAATAAAAAAGCTGATGAATACAATGCTGAAAATCTAGAGGACATCTCCCACATTACCAAACAGCATAATTTGGCAAAGTTACCTACAAAATATGCTAATGTATCTCCTGTTTGAATTATTTGAGTAATGTGCTAAAATATCCCACTGCCCAGATTGGTAGGAAGATATCGATTACATCAAAATTAGTTGATATAATACTAATACAGGGTCCGGCAATAGTGCGTCGGGTATCTGCAGCTCCTAGAATAAAAAACTTATATAAAAGTATATGTATTTCAGGAAAATATTTTAACTTCTACAGGAAGGCTCAAAAAAGTGTGAGTGGATTGGAATGATTTTTTTTTAAATGGAACACCCTGTATGTTATTGCATTTTTGGCTTTTTTTCAGATCACTTTACATAATCCTAAGATACGAGTAAATATATTTCGTTAGTTTTAGAGATATTAATAAATAAATAAAAAATATAAATTTTTCAGCCTTTTTTTAAAAAAATATTAAAAATACAAGAAATGTCCTCAAATCAAAACTATAATAGGTGTTTACTTTAGATGTGTTGTACTTAGTTTGTTATAAATATCGTAATCTTACATCATACAGGGTGTTAAAAATTCTATGGAAAACTTTCTTTTTTTAAATGGTATATTATTTTTTTTAATAGATGGGGAATTAAAAGTTTTTTAACTCAGATATTCACGATTTTATATTACATATGGCATTTTCCACAGTAAATTTTTACCAAAGCCACCCAATGAATTTTCTCTCGTATTTTACCGTTGAAGGAGCCATAGGAAATAATACCGCGAGTATCTACAAAATCGTTAAAAATTTTGAAATACTCTAAATACAAAAAAAAAAAATTAATAATAACGATGATTCATTGATCCTATAGACTTAAAATAAAATATAGACTACACTATTTACGTCTCAACGCGGACAAACAACCTTTTTTGTACACATGTTTACTTCTGGGTACAGTCGACCGAGCCTTCCTCATCCAGCCTATGTTGTCACGTCTTTAATATTATCAATATTTTTTTTCTTGTTATACACATATATTGAGATATTAATACTACAGTTTAATAAAGTAGGTTTTAATATTCCATATTGTAGGAACTACGGACTAGATTGTCACGCATGGCGGGAAGTTTAAAAAATAAGAAAATTTTAATTCTTCATTTATTTTTAATTATGACAAAAACACAAAAAATACACCATTTTTTAAAAAATATGTTTAATATCAATATCAAATATACAACAGAAATTAATTTCACCACAATAAATTAATTTAAAAAATAATGTTACAAGTAGATCAAGAGACAAAATTAATTATAACAAAACTGAAAAAAATGGCGTCATAGATGGCTTAGAAATGACGATATATATCATAATTTTGAAAGTAAAATTATATAGGAAATGTCATCGATCATCATTTTGAAGCCAACTGGACGATTATTATTTCAAACATACAAGCTGAGTTCGTTCTATAGTGCTCTGAGAAATCTAGATAAACAAGAATAATAAATTTGTATGTATTCAGGGAAAAGAGAGGGAAAAACCTGTATCGTCTCTGATATCTGTCAGGGGGGGTTTTGTTGAAAGTGTCATCCTTTGCTCCGAAATTTTCAGGTCGATTAAAAAAGATGACATTTACAACAATACTTTGCCGTAACTTTCACAAATATCAGAGAGAGAAGTACAGTATTGCCTCTCTTTTCCTCTGGGATGCTTTATATCTGTTCTTCTTTTAATTTACCTATATTTCTAAGAGCATAATGCAGGCTACGACTTACAATACAATAATAATTTCAATATCCGAAGTGGAAAGAAAAAAGATCACCTTTCTGTTTTGTAATATTGTCCTTTTCTTCCGATGGCTCATCTCGTTGATATTTAGGAAGGTATCCATAAAATATATATTTTATTATCGGTCCTGGGATGAAAAAATATAAAAATTCAATTTCATTTGATGATCCTTTTCTGTCACCTAAATCAGGAGAATGACAATGAGCATGTTAAGATGAAAAAACTTATTTATCAACACTTACCTAAACGTTAGTCCAAGGAGTTTTATCAAAAACCTATATTTGCCTAAATAATTTATGTATTCAATTTACAAAGCAAACTGCAACATTGTAAACAAAAGAAATAAAATGGCGACAAGTCAACGTCAACGACCCGAGAAAGGAGAAAAGTGTTGTGTTCTCGGCAGAGTCGTCAGGGAACGACCGTTACGACAGAGACAACCTATCTATCGCTCGTGTCGCACTCGTTATAACCTAAAACAATAACACAACAATAACAAGATATTGTCTGACCGCATGTTCCAGCTATTTATGAATGAGATGCTCAGTCTATATTTTATTTTAAGTCTATGATTGATCCACTCCATAATTTTAATAAAGAAAACAAAAAAAAATCACACACGCACGCACGAACGCAGACAAAACAAATTGCCGGTGCAAACTGAGCGTTCGCGCACACATAAAATCCCTTTGAGTACGGATCAAAAACCGACACCCAGACGGCTCACGTTCGCGGCTGCTCGCGCACAGACAGATTCAGAGTGAGCGTGCGCGCACAGCCGTTTACACTGAGCATTCGCGTAGGATCAGTGCGTGCGTGCTCAAGTCTAAACGCACCATTATAGTTTTGATTTGAGGACATTTCTTGTATTTTGAACACTTTTTTTAAAAAAGGCTAAAAAACATTTATTTATTAATATCTCTGAAACTATCAAAATATAAAGCCTTTTTTACTTTTAATTTATTAATATTATAACTGTGTATATCAATTGCTGAATCTCTTTTTTTTGTATTTCAGAGCGTTGTCTGTGCCGACAATGAAGTTTGTTGTCAACTCCGGTCAACCTCAGCTTCAGGATCTGATGGATCATATTACAATACCAACGTTCTATCTTCTGGAAAATCCAGTGTTGGATCCCAAACGAAAATTACCGATTTCAATGGATTATCTCCAGATCAAGTCCATGTAAGATTTTTTTAAATTTAAGGATTTATACCGTATGATCGAAAAAAGAGCGAGAGAGCGTGAACTGCTAAGCACAATAAAACGCAGAAAAACAGCGTACCTGGGACATGTTATGCGCAATGAGAGATACCATTTACTCCAACTAATAATAGAAGGAAAGATAGAAGGAAGAAGGGGATTGGGCAGGAAGAGGATGTCGTGGCTCCGAAATGTTAAACATTGGACGAGAATAAGAACTACAGGAGAATTAATTCACGCCACCGGAGAGAGAGAAAGATGGTCAGAACTGATCGCAAACATCCATTAATGGATAGCAGCAGAAGAAGAAGAAGATCGAAAAAAATGACGTCCAGTTGGCTGGGAAATGACGATCGATGACATTTCCCATATAAATTTACATACAGGTTGGCGCCCCTCATACGCCGCGGAAGCTCTAAGGAGAACCGTAGTTTATATCGATATTAAATTTTGGCAGCATATGTAGGTTAACTGAAAGCATTTTATAAAAATATATAGAACTATATAGGGTGTTCCCCAAAAAAGTTACACATTAAAGTTGTGTTTTTTCTAATAGAACACCCTATATATTAATGGATTTTCGGATTCTAGGAAAAAAATAAAGGTGAGTTTTATTAAAGAAGCATATACCTAAAATCTAAGGATTTTGACATATTTCACATTTTGTGAAAATGAAGAGTAAATTTTAAATTTCGATAACAGTTATTTAAATTTTAGTTGACCTTGTATAGCCTGATATTTAATTACAGTAACCATTGTATGTTAAACCAAATTAAAATTTGACCCGAAAAGTTATACAGGGTGAGACAAAATTAATATGGAACATTAGTCACATTTAAAAGCAAGTTACTCCTTTATTTTAAATGGAACACCCAGTATATTTTTCCGGTGTTCAACGGGGAATTTATATATCTTCAAAATATTATTAAGGTTGTCTACCCCTCAGACAAATATTTTCCTAGATATTTTAATTTTTATGATTTTGCGTCAGTAGATCTTAATTATTTGAAAAAATCTAAGTGGCTGTGTGATTTACCTTTTGTTAATTTAACAAAAATTCAAGATTGTAGAGTAAAATACTCAACGATAATAAAAAGAAACACGTTTAAAACATATTTTAATTATTACAGAATTAAAACTAGATGTGAACCTATAATTATGTGACAAAAATTAACTAGATGCAATCAAATGCTCAAAATGCTTACTTTCCTGTTAACTGTATAAAATGATTGCCTTTTCAAAAGGAACTTTTCATTTTAAAAGGTATATGTGGAGTTCTACCTCGAAAAGCAGTTACAATAATTTCTTTCATGTTGTCGACAATTATAATAGTTGGTCGAGTTTTGTAAACACATATCCCCATAAAAAAAGCCCAGACTAAATAAAATCAGGAGAATTTAAATATTCTATTAACTGGTGAATGCAATAACTTGTTATTAAAGTTGGACTAATTAGACAGCTATGTTGAAGTAACGTCAGACATATCACAGCCACCTAGATTTTATCAAATAATAAAGATCTACTCAGATCAAATCATGTAAATGAAAATATCTAGGAAAATCTTTGTTTGAGGGGTAGGCAACCTTAATAGTATTTTGACGAGACATGAATTATCCATTAAATATCGGAATAATATACTGGGTGTTCCATTTAAAATAAAGAAGTAACATGCTTTTAAAGGTGACCAATGTTCAATATTAATTTTGTCTCACCCTGTATAACTTTTTGGATTAAGTTTTAATTTGATTTAAAGTACAATAGTTAATTTAACTACATATTAGGCTGTACCGGGTAAATTCCAATTTAAGTAGCTTTTATTGCAATTTAAAAATTGTTCTTTATTTCTAGAAAATGTTAAATATGTCAAAAACCGTGCATTTTAGTCATATGCTTCTCTTATAAAGCTCACCTTTATTTTCCTCCCAGAATCCGAAAATCAATTAATATATAGGGTGTTCCATTACGAAAAACACAACTTTGATATGTAACTTTTTTTGGGGACACCCTGTAGAGCTCTCTATATTTTTAAAAAGTGCTCTGAATTAACCTACATATGCTCACAAAATTTCATTTCAATACAAACTGTCTTTCTCCTTGTAGCCTCCGCGGCGTATGAGAGGCGCCACCCTGTATAAAATGACAGCGATCTTCATTTCATAGCCATCATTGACGCCGTTTTTTCTCGATCATACGGTATTTAGTGAAAACCCAGAGTATTGTAGTTCATCAGAACTCATATATATTTTTTTGATACAGTGAATATTAGTTCCATTTCAACAGGAAGTTCAGTCAAAAGTCTGTATATTTTTGCATAATTATACAGTTTAAAATTATTTTGTGAATGGTACATCACAAATTAGTATTATTTTTCAAAACAGCGTTGTAGAATTGTTTTATTTATAAGAACGGCTTTTCAAATATACTACAAAATTAATCAAATCTTCAATTGTGTAACATTCGATTGATTTTTGATAAAGAATATGATTTTTTTAACTGTACCTACGTTAAAATAAAGTTTCACAATAAAATTATTGATTTTTAATATCAATTTCATTTTATAGGTAAATTCGGCTTCACAAGCAGGTCTAAGACCACAACTGAACTTCATTGGAGCTTCTGGAGCTTCCACAATCAAACCTAGAGATCTCACAGCAGCCGCAAGCGACTTTGGATATTTTTCCAGCAGCACACCTGATTACTCCAATGTCAATTTTGGAGATGATGCCAGGTTTTCAAATTTACAGGGTTTAGATTATTTGCCTCCGAAAGGTTCGTATTTTAATAGCATTTAAATGATATAAGAATAATTTTAATGTATTTTTTTTCTACAGTTGAAACTCCTTCAACCACTACTTACCGTCCAACACCTCCACCACGTCCATCTTGTCCACCAGGACAATTTTTGACTGCTTCTGGTATATGTGAAGCTGTTCACAGGGAATGTCCACCTGGCACTCGTGCTACACCTTCAGGAGGTTGTGAGAAATTGAAGGTTGAATGTGGTCCAGGTAATTTTCTGTTAATTTGATATAAACGTATTTTACTACAAAATTCATTAATGCTGTTACTGCATATATCTTTGGTTTTTATCCATTTTTTAACTTATTTTTTTAGGTCAGCGTCATGGGCCTTACGGACAGTGTATTTCCATTCAAACTCCACCACCACCAACACAACCACCAACACCAAGAGTGTGCCCACCAGGTATAGAAATATGTTTTTTTGCTTGTTGCTTATTGTAGAATGTAGAATCAATGGGAAGGGGGTTAATTTCCGTGACTTTACAGATATATTGTGTCCCTCTTTCTTGAGTTATAACTTATTATACAATCTCAGGTCTTTGCCGGTATCTGAGACTGATTTACAGGGGTTAGTAAGTTGTATATAGGTACCAAACACACGACACGAATGGTTGTTGTCTCGGCGCACTCAGTGATGATCGCACATTTGCTAGGCCAGTGGCGCCTTATTATTACTTCTACAACTTCCACACAGTAATTGATTAATTATTTTTGCTTGAATAATAATTATTGACATTAAAAACGCATACCACACAACTAAAGATCTAAAAGACATCTGTTATCTTCCATTGTAAATTAATTTGAACTGACTGAATTAAGTTTTTTTCAAGTTTCGCTTTACAAATAATACTTTTAAATTATATTGTGCTTGTTTCATAGAGTATAAAAAATATTATTTAACGATTTAGGGCAGCAACCTGGACCTTATGGACAATGTATAGTAATTCATACTCCACCACCACCGCCACCACCAACTCCAAAAGTGTGTCCATCAGGTATAGAACTAGAATTTATTACTTTTATGCTATTTATCCAAAATATAAGTTCACCTAGTCAATTCACCTTTCTTAAAAAAATTGGCTAAAAAATAAAGTTTCTTATCTTCAAATTATTTTTTTTCTATTTACTTGTAATATATTCTAATTTTTTGTTATTAAAATGGACTATGTAATAAAGAGTAACCCTTGTTCCTATTAATACAGGGCAACAACCTGGACCTTACGGACAATGTATAGCAATTCATACTCCACCTCCTACACCACCACCTGTAAGAGAGTGCCCTCAAGGTAAAAATATACTTGACATTTAAAATAGTTATAAGTATCAAAATTCTTTTATTAACTTGTTTTGTATTTATTTACAGGTTACAGATTAGGACCAAACGGTCAATGTGTTCCAATTCCCACTCAACCACCAGTTAAAACTTGCCCACCAGGTATAATTTGAAATAATATGTTATATCACAACTTATTCAGTACCAGCTGATCAAATTAGATGGTTTCTGAGTATCGGTGTATTACCTAATGTGTTTATTCTTGTACTCAGTTTTAACAAAGCTTAATTTGAGTTCACTATCCATCTTTACATACTTTAAGTGAATATTTCATATGCAAATTATTGTTTATCATTAATGTGGATATGTATAGGCTTAGCAGATATACATTATCAAAATATCTTAAATACTATATTCAGCTACTAAGGACGTTTTCTTTGTCACTATTAAATATGTATTGCTCTTGTGATATAAGTTATTAAATTATATTTTTTAATGTATTTTTAGGCCAGAAACTTGTTGGTGGAGCATGTATAATTATTGATTGCGCCCCAGGTAAGAGAAAGTTAAAAACAGTTTAAGTATAGAGAATGACAATAATATATTTTCAGGGTATAGATTAACTCCACAAGGTGAATGTGTTGTTGTACCTACCCAACCTCCTCCAACTCGGGTCACTTGTGGTCCTGGCCAAACCCTAGGACCCTACGGACAGTGCATCAGTTCTACAGCATATCTACCTCCGCCTTCCTGCAGACCAGGACAGAAAGTCGGTTTTAATGGACAATGTATTGATGTTGTTACTAGTCCCCCGGTAACAACTCCTTATCCACCTTCAATCCCAACATGTGGACCTGGAGAAAGATTGGGTCCCAACGGACTGTGCGTCAGCATCACAACGCCGCGCCCGGCCTGTCCACCAGGGTCCTTCCCAACTGCGTACGGGGGTTGCGAACGCCCCCCACCGCCGAGCACGACACCCGCCAGCTACTCCTGTCCTCCCGGAACCGTAAAAACTCCCTCTGGAAGATGCGAATCTCCTCCAACTCCTCCACGACCAGTCACCTGTCCTTCTGGTAGCTTCTTGGGTCCTTCTGGCAATTGTGTTAGACCTACAACCACAAGAACTTATCTCCCACCGGAAACGTATGTACCCACCAAACCATCCACGCAATTCACTCGCCCTTCACCTGCACCATTTACTACCACACAAACACCATATCCCAGCACTAGTAGGCCACTAACCACGCCCGGAAGCACCAAGTCGTCACCGAGTGGTTTTACCAGTTCGGAGACGTCTTGCGCTCCCGGGTCTGTTTTGAGTCAAGATGGTAGATATTGTCAGTTGTTAAGCACTACGCCTAGACCCACTTATCCTACCCGACCTACGTTCCCAACATCCAGAGCATGTCCTTTTGGCACGAAATTTAATTCAGGCACTAACCAATGCGAATCTGTTTATCAGACTACACCGAAAGCACCGATATCTTGTTCATTTGGAACACAGCTAAATGCGTTTACGAACATATGTGAACCTATTCCAACACCGACTACTTGTAGACCGGGTACTAAGCTCAATCCAGTGACTGGTGATTGTGATAATGTAGTTACACCAGGATACACTTACACTACTCCAAAAATTCCTTTCACGACCCCAACTAAAAAAACTTGTAATTTCGGATACAAACTAAACCCCGTTACTGGAAATTGTGAAGTTATCAGTTCAACGACACCAAAACCGGTTACAACAGGATATACATATACCACTCCAAGAGTTCCATTTACTACGCCGGGTATTCAAACTACAAGAAGATCTTGTAGCTTCGGATATAGATTAAACGTAAGAACAGGAGAATGTGAAGCCATACCTCGCCCTTCAACGCCAAAACCTACTCCGATTTCCTGTTCTCCTGGTACTACTTTAAATAAATTTACTGGCAGATGTGAATCAGTGTCATCTACCACTCCAGCTCCAGAACAAACAACAGGTTATATTTATACAACACCAAAGAAACCGTTTGAGGAAACTCGACCGACAGCAAAATCTTGCAGTCCCGGTTTGAAATTGAATCCAATAACTAATCGATGTGAATTTATTACGACTGTTCCTACAGTTCCTACGTCAAAAGGTTGTGGATTTGGTGAGAGATTAAATAGTATTACTGGAAACTGTGAAAGGATATCAACCCCATCCCCTAGTACATGTCGATTTGGAGAAAAATTAAATACTTTTACAGGACGATGTGAATCAGTTGCTACTACAACTCAAAAACCGTCCATTACATTCCCAACATCAAAATCTTGTCCTTTTGGAACGACGTTTAATGCAAATACCAATAGATGTGAAACTATTTATGAATCCACTCCGCCTCCAATTAAGGAATGTAGACCAGGAACTCAATTAAACGTACTTACAAATCAATGTGACCTTGTAACATCAACAACTTGCGGATCTGGCAAAGTATATAACAAACTAACTGGACAATGCGACTCAGTTAGTACTCCAGGCTATACATACACTACCCCTAGAGTTCCATTTACAACGCCCGGTACACAAACAACTAAGAAAACTTGTAGCTTTGGATATATACTAAATACAAGGACTGGTAACTGTGAACCCGTACCATCTAGACCAACAATTCCACCAGGCGATCAAAAAACAACTGGATATGTGTATACAACCCCGAAAGTACCGTTTACATACAGTACAAGACCAACGCCAAAGTCATGCTCACCTGGTTTTCGTTTAAATCCTGTTACAAATAATTGCGAGTCAATCACAACTCCAAGGCCTACGACTTGTAGATTTGGCGAAAAATTAAACACCTTTACTGGACGATGTGAAGTTGAAGGAACTAAGCAAACTCCACCAAGTTTCACTGCTCCTAAAACATGCGCCTTTGGTACAAAATATAACTTTATTAGTGGACAATGTGAAACTACCTATACAACTACACCTTCTCCGAGTGTTGAATGTAGTCCTGGAACACAATTGAATATATTTACTAATAAATGCGAGAAAGTTACGACTGAAAAAAGTTGTAGACCAGGGACCCGGTATAATCCAAGAAATGGTCAGTGTGAAGCTATAACCACTCCAGGATATACATATACTACTCCTAGAGTACCAATTACACAACCTGTTAAAACAACGGGTTACGTATACACTACGCCAAAAGTGCCGTTTGAAGAATCGCGCCCTACCAGACCGACACCAAAGTCTTGCGCACCTGGGTATCGTTTGAATTCCTTTACTAATCAGTGTGAATTACCTTCAACAACCCCTCGTCCAACGCCATCTATTGTAACATGCAGTCCTGGTGAAACAAGAAATCGGTTTACTGGTAAATGTGAAACTGTAACAGCTAGACCTTCTCCAAAATGCGGTTTTGGAGAGCAATTTAACAGCTTCACTGGACAATGTGAAAGTATTTCAACTCGTCCAACATCACCGTCAACAGTAAAAGTTTGCGGATACGGTGAACGACGAAACGCGATCACTGGTAACTGTGAAACTATACCCAGCACAAGAGCCCCGCCTACTACAACTGGATTTACTACTAAACCAACCATATCTTGTGGTTTTGGTGAACGTTTAAACACTTTTACCGGAGAATGTGAGTCAATATCAACTAAAAAACCCACTGTAACTACAGAAAAGAAAATCTCTTGCTCTTTTGGAGAAAAACTCAATATTTTTACAAATCAGTGCGAACCACAAACATCTAGAACAACTCCCCGTCCTAGTACAGGATATACTTATCCAACTCCATCAGTTACTTTTAAGGAAACTCCTACTACATATAAACCATCAATTACTCCGTCAGTTAGTTGTGGATTTGGGGAGCAATATAATACTTTTACCAGAAGATGCGAACAGCCTACTACAAAACGTCCTTATACTTCTACAACGCCTGCAACAATAAAATGTAGCTTCGGCGAAAGATTTAATGTGTTCACTAATCAATGCGAGTCTGTGCCATCAACACAAACAACACCTAGGCCTTCAACGTCGGTTACTTGTGGTTTTGGAGAAACTTATAATACGTTTACAAAAAAGTGTGAAAAATCTTTTACCCAACGACCTAGCACAGGATATACCTATCCAACTCCTACAGTTCCATTTACTACTCCTCGTCCTATTACATCCACAACTCAACAAACGATAAGTTGTGGAGTGGGAGAGAGACTAAACATATTTACCAATCGATGTGAACCCGTTGGTTCAACAACTCCTGGCCGTCCAACATCAGTCAGCTGCAGTTTCGGAGAAACCTTTAATTCATTTACAGGAAGATGTGAAATAGCTACAACTAAACGTCCTTTCACATCTGCGACATCTCAAACAGTTAAGTGTGGATTCGGAGAAAAACTCAACGTGTTTACCAATCGGTGTGAGCCAACTACATCGCCCCAAACAACTCCGACTCCTTCAACACCAGTAACTTGTGGTTATGGAGAAAACTTCAATAGCTTTACTAGAGAATGTGAGAAATCTATTACCACACAACGCCCGCGCACGGGTTATACTTATCCAACTCCGAAAATTCCATTTACTGAACCAACTACTACGAAAAAAACATCTGTTAGTTGTGGTTTTGGAGAAAGCTTTAATACTGTAAGAGGAATATGCGAGAGACCTTCAACTAGACAACCGTATACGCCTTCAACTACAGAACGTGTAAGATGTGGATTTGGAGAGAGACATAATGTGCTAACAAATCAATGCGAACCTACTCGAACGACCCCTACTGTTCCAACCCCAGTAAGCTGTGGATTTGGTGAGGCTTTTAACGCTTTCACGAGAAGATGCGAAAAAACTACAACAAGCAAACCAACTCCCACATCTGTTAGTTGTAGTTTTGGAGAACAATTTAATTCAATAACTGGAAGGTGTGAAAGACCTACCACACAACGTCCATTTACATCTCCAACAAAGCAAACTGCAAAATGCGGCTTTGGAGAAACATATAATGTATTTACAAAGCAATGCGAATCTACAACTTTTCCTCAAACAAGACCTACACCTACAACATCAGTCAGTTGTGGCTTTGGAGAAACTTTTAATACATTTACTAGGAGATGTGAAAAACCAACTACTGAGAGACCTCGTACAGGTTATACATATCCTACTCCTGCAGTTACCTTTAAGGAAACTCCTACGACAAGCAAACCAGGAATTACACCGATTAGTTGTGGTTTTGGAGAACAATTTAATTCAATAACTGGAAGGTGTGAAAGACCTACCACACAACGTCCATTTACATCTCCAACACAGCAAACTGCAAAATGCGGCTTTGGAGAAACATATAACGTATTTACAAAGCAATGCGAATCTACAACTTATCCTCAAACAAGACCTACACCTACAACATCAGTCAGTTGTGGCTTCGGAGAAACTTTTAATACTTTCACTAGGAGATGTGAAAAACCAACCACTGAAAGACCTCGTACAGGTTATACATACCCTACTCCTACAGTGACATTCAAAGAAACTCCTACGACAAGCAGACCAGGAATTACACCAATTAGTTGTGGTTTTGGAGAACAATTTAATTCAATAACTGGAAGATGTGAACGACCTACTACACAACGTCCATTTACAACTCCAACACAGCAAACTGCAAAATGCGGCTTTGGAGAAACATATAACGTATTTACCAAGCAATGCGAGTCTACAACTTATCCCCAAACAAGACCAACATCTACACCATCGGTTAGTTGTGGTTTTGGAGAAATATTCAACACTTACACTAGAAGATGTGAAAAAACAACAACGGAAAGACCTCGTACAGGTTATACATACCCTACTCCTGCAGTGACATTCAAGGAAACTCCTACGACAAGCAGACCAGGAATTACACCGATTAGTTGTGGTTTTGGAGAACAATTTAATTCAATAACTCGAAGGTGTGAAAGACCTACCACACAACGTCCATTTACATCTCCAACACAGCAAACTGCAAAATGCGGCTTTGGAGAAACATATAACGTATTTACAAAGCAATGCGAATCTACAACTTATCCTCAAACAAGACCTACACCTACAACATCAGTTAGTTGTGGCTTTGGAGAAACATTCAACACTTTCACTAGAAGATGTGAAAAACCAACCACTGAAAGACCTCGTACAGGTTATACATACCCTACTCCTGCAGTGACATTCAAAGAAACTCCTACGACAAGCAGACCAGGAATTACACCGATTAGTTGTGGTTTTGGAGAACAATTTAATTCAATAATTGGAAGATGTGAAAGACCTACTACACAACGTCCATTTACAACTCCAACACAGCAAACTGCAAAATGCGACTTTGGAGAAACATATAACGTATTTACAAAGCAATGCGAGTCTACTACTTATCCCCAAACAAGACCTATACCTACACCAACAGTTAGTTGTGGATTTGGAGAAACATTCAACACTTTTACTAGAAGATGTGAAAAACCAACAACGGAAAGACCTCGTACAGGATATACATACCCTACTCCTGCAGTTACATTCAAAGAAACTCCTACGACATTCAGACCAGGAATTACATCAACTAGTTGTGGTTTTGGGGAGCAATTTAACTCAATAACTGGAAGGTGCGAAAGACCTACCACACAACGTCCATTTACATCTCCAACACAGCAAACTGTGAAATGCGGCTTTGGAGAAACATATAATGTATTTACAAAGCAATGTGAATCAGTAACTTTACCTCAAACTAGACCTACATCTCCAACGTCAATCAGTTGTGGCTTCGGAGAAACTTTTAATACATTTACTAGGAGATGTGAGAAACCAACTACTGAAAGACCTCGTACAGGATATACTTATCCTACCCCTGCAGTTACATTCAAAGAAACTCCTACGACATTCAGACCAGGAATTACAACAACTAGTTGTGGTTTTGGTGAAAAATTTAACTCAATAACTGGAAGGTGTGAAAGACCTACTACACAACGTCCATTTACATCCCCAACACAGCAAACGGCAAAATGCGGGTTTGGAGAAACATATAATGTATTTACAAAGCAATGTGAATCAGTAACTTTACCTCAAACTAGACCTACACCTCCAACATCAATCAGCTGTGGCTTTGGAGAAACCTTTAACACTTTCACTCGGAGATGTGAAAAGCCAACTACTGAAAGACCTCGTACAGGGTATACATATCCTACTCCTGCAGTTACCTTCAAGGAAACTCCTACGACAAGCAGACCAGGAATAACACCTATTAGTTGTGGTTTTGGAGAACAATTTAATTCAATAACTGGAAGATGCGAAAGACCTACCACACAACGTCCATTTACATCTCCAACACAGCAAGCGGCAAAATGCGGGTTTGGAGAAACATATAATGTATTTACAAAGCAATGTGAATCAGCAACTTTACCCCAAACTAGACCTACACCTCCAACATCAATCAGTTGTGGCTTTGGAGAAACTTTTAACACTTTCACTAGGAGATGTGAAAAACCAACTACTGAAAGACCTCGTACAGGTTATACATATCCTACCCCTGCAGTTACTTTCAAGGAGACTCCTTCACCTCAAACAAGACCCACACCTTCAACAATTACATGCAATTTTGGAGAAACTTACAATAGTTTTACTAGAAAATGCGAAAAATCTACAACAGGTCGCACAGAATATACTTATTCAACTCCGTCATTTCCATTTACTGAAGGGCCTACAACAAGCCCAAGACCATCGAGGCCATGTCCTTTCGGAACTAAACGAAATCCTATTACGGGTATTTGCGAGTCAGAATCTTTAGTCACACCGACAGTTAGTCCAGTACCAACTACGTTTAAACCAAAGGTGTGTTCCTACGGATACAGATATAACGTAAAGACGCAACAGTGCGATAGAGTATCAAAAACACCTACAACACAGCGGATTCCAACAGAACCAGTTTGCCCACCTGGTAGCCAAATAAACCAAGCGACGGGAAAATGTACCCCTCCAATTTCTCCTCCTAGAACGTGTACTTTTGGAAAACGATTTAATGTAGTTACTGGAGAATGCGAAACCGTCGCTGTGACTACACCCAGTACAAGTAAGGCCACTGGATACACTTATCCAAGACCGTCTGTTCCTTTTGAAACTCCTACTAGTCCAAAACCAGTTCCTCAGTGCCAAAGTGGTCAAGTATTTAACCCCAATACTAGAAAGTGTGAAGGTAGAACGATCTCATGTCCTCCTGGTCAAGTGTTATCGGCATCTGGCTCTGGCTGTGAGTTTGTCCGAGTTCCTCCTGCCCGTCCCGATACTCCTACTACCTACAGACCTCCTATTAGTCCATGTCCTTTCGGTAAAGTTCCTGGACCCAGAGGCTGTCAGTACCCTGCTACTACTGCGCCTGAACCTTCCACTGGACCCTTTGACGGAACTTCGTCCACGACTTGTCCTCCGGGTTCAATTCGAAGTCCGTCGGGAGGTTGCCAGAGGCGGCGGTGTCCTCCTGGATACGTTGCTGCTCCGTCGGGCAACTGCGAAAGGGCCGGAACTAGTCCCTTCCCAAGCACATGTTCCGCTGGTCAAGTTTACTCACCAATAACCAATGCATGCGAATATCCACAAACACCATTCGAAACCACTCCATCATCCACTAAAAAACCGTATGTAACTCCTAAACATCCGAATTTTAGCGAACAAACTACTCGTGGCTACGAATATCCCAAACCTACGCCGCCATTCCCAGGTGGACATAATGAGGAACCGGAATATCTATCGACAGGTAATTAAAGTGTTTTAGGGTCAGTACTTTCGTTCCTGGTTATATTTAATCATGATCACTTGTAATTAAGGCTTGGGAGTACTTTCAATGTTTGTTATTTATTTAATCATCATTTTATGTAATTTTTATATTATTTGGAACTTTTGAAATCGTTTAAAAAAATTATTTGGGGAGTTTGAAAAAATAGCATGTTCTATTCGGTATAAAACTGGTTTTTTGTGCCTCGCCAAAAAAAGTGTCATTTTTACTCCTTATAAAACAATATACTATTATTATTCAAATAGAAATATCAATTATTTTGGTGTTTATTCACAAAAACACGAGTATTGCGGTTTTAAGTTTAAGTCAAGTGATAAAAAGACGCTCTAACCTAACTACACCGATATCCTATCTATCGGAGTCCCGTTTTTTAATGTTAGGTATTTTTTTTACTTTTAATCTGAATTTTTTATGTTGTTTTTAAATAATTCTAGTCATTGTGGCAACACTGGGCGTCGGATAAGCTGGGATTCTGGTAATTGCTTTGTATTTGCGGCTGATTACCGATTGCTGCCGGCGGCTCTCAAAATGTTGCCATTATTTCTTTAAATTTTCAAAGTTTTTCAAAACTACAAAAAAATGAGTTACCTATATCATAAATAAAGGTAAAAGATAAAAATGCATAAATTAACCTAGAAATAAATCAAACCTATGGTCAAAATTAAACAAAACTTTCATGCTTTATTATACAAAATATTATGAAAATTTAAAAATATAGGTTCGAATTATCTCATATAATGGAAAATAATTAATTTCTATATTAGCAGTTCAAGGCAAGAAACTCTTTATAATTTTATTATTATCTAATATTAGATATACTTTGTTGTAATTTTTCTATATTTTTCTGACATAGTCTTATTTGACTACCCCCGTTATACAGGGTGCTACAAATTCGAGGTACGAGCATTGCTATCTCGGTAACCGTAATAGATACGAAAAATTTTAAAAATTTCAAGGATTGCTGAGTTTTTTGGAAAAAACGGATTTTTTTGGAAAATCCATTTTATTTTTTCCTGGCGTTATTTTTTAGGAAATCAAAAAACTAATTGCACATTCTCATAGCCACTCTATTAGGGCTATCTGATAGTATTTTTGGATTTTGAAATTAGCTGATAATTTGTGAGATACAGAGGCCAACTTAATTTTTTTAAATACGGATCTGCATTTTTTATTTCAGATTTTGAAAGAACTCAGTCTCCTAAGTACAATGATATGCACACTTTATAATCTTTTTTTGTTTTGGGTACCTTAACAGCAACAAAACTATTTAATTATTATTTAAAAAAAAAAATCAAGTCCGACTCTGTTTTTTAAATCATTTAATCTAATTATATTCATTGCAACACTATTGATCAGTGCTAATTAACATTGAATAAGGAAAATTGAGCCAATTGAAAGATTCAAATAAATAATATCCAGATCGGCAATTTAAAGATATTATTTTTAACTTTTCTTATTGTGAATTTGAAATTCTCAGTGTACGATCTAATTGCATAATATTAATCGTAGTTATTATGAATAAATTCACATCTACAAACTAGTGTTTAATGCTTTACATGGTCTACATGTTCGAAAGGGTTACCACTACCCTCCCTATTGCACAAATTTATTTTTCGTTCAATTTTATTTATAGTTTTTGAATAGATCTTCTTATACTTTCGAATGCATTTTGTACTCTTTATTGTAACTGCCGAGATGATTGTTGATTTCACTTTTTTTGTAAAATTTGGACCTGTCGAATTACTTGACGTCATCAGACGGTCCAGGTACCTCGCTGGCCTTTATACTGCTCTACATTTCCAATCCATCTTACGGGGAAAGGATTTGATAGTTTATATTACATTTTACTTATATTATTTTTTATTATTTTATTGCATTTGATTTTCCGTATTCAACCCACGTCACTGTTAAGTTTGAAAGCTTATCAATATTGTAACGATGAATATATTAAATATTAAAAAAAAACAGAGCCAGACTTGAAATTAGTTTAAAAAAATTGTGTGCAAATTTCCAAAACAAAAAAAAAATTAAGTGTGGCATATCATTGTACTCAGAAGAGCGAGTTCTTTTAAAATCTGAAATAAAAAATGCAGGTCCCCATTTTTAAAAATTAATTTGGCCTCTGTATCTCACAAATTATCAGCTGATTTGAAAATATAAAAATACTATCAGATAGCCCTAATAAAGTGGCTATGAGAATGTGCAATTAGTTTTTTTTATTTTCTAAAAAGAATCGACAGGAAAAAATAAAATTGATTTTCAAAAATATCCGTTTTTTTCCAAAAAACTAAGCAATCCTTGAAATTATTAAAACTTTTTTGATGGCATCTTGGTGAACATCCCAAAGCGCAACTTTGCCCTAATTTAACCTTAATCTTCGTATCTATTACGGTTACCGAGTTACCAATGCTCGTACCTCGAATTTGGGCCGTTTAGGCTGGGAATAAATAGCCGGTTATCAATTCAAATGTAGTATGAGTGCGAAAAGTATCTACCAAAGGTTATTAATATGTATAATATATGTACCTATACTGTTTTAAATGAACTTAACATGCCGATTTGTTAAACAATGAGTTAATTCGAAAGCACAGTACTGGCTCTTATTGTGTTATAAGATTAATATCTTCATTATTTTGACAGCCAAACCGACAGTTCCACCACGTCGTCCAGGCAGACCAAGATACCCACCAACAGACAAGGAAGGATCACCAGGAAGTAACGTACCCGTCCATGTCCGTCCACCAGGCAGCCAGGACGAAACGAACCTCGACCTGATTCCTGTAGGATGCGCAGCTGCGCTAAAATGCGTCCAAGAGATTTACTGCACAGCCGAGGGACTCGTTAGCCCGGTACCGGTGGTTCTGACTAAGGAACAAGAACTGTTGAGAGCTCCTACAACGGTAATAAGTCTATTATTATAATATTGCTAGAAAGGATAGTGTAATTGGGGCTAGAATCTTTAGCTATTATAGGCATGCTTTAGTTTCCAGTATTATAGTGTTCTGAAACATGTTTTATTTTTTTTGGATATTATTACATACATAGGCATATATAAAAGCTAGAATAATCATATTACATTAATTTGTTGTGACTCCTTATAGACAGGGTGAGTCAACGATAAAGTCCATTATCTCATTTGTTTCGAGGTTTACAAAAAATGTTAAACATAAAAGTTATAGTGAAAATTAAAATACACATCTTAAAATTATTACGGAGTATACAAAGCTTCAAAAATGTGTGGTAGATATAACATATGTTTTTTTTTTAAATGTAAACAATAAATTTAAAGAAAAATTCAGTATTTTTCTTTGTGTTTAACTTATTAAAAATAATTAATTATTTGTTTTTAAGACTTGCCGCATCCTGGAATCTGGATCAGTCGGAAAATGCTGTAGAGATCCAAATTACCAAGACCCATGGCCTTCAGCAAACTTAGTCAACGGAGTTGACGATGGACAGTACGCGGAAGACGATTCTATTGGTCAATACAAAGGTAACAGAAAGTAGATTAGTAGGTTAGGAGTTTTGTAGAAATAATTTTAGTTAGGCTAGGGGTAGACTAATTATTAATACATTGTTTGTGAATGGATTATTACTAAAAATACATTTGTAGCTCATTAAAAATATTCTGTGTGAATTAATAAGTGATTGCTGCTCCTAAATTATTAACACAAATTGTAATAAATCTATTTTGGTTTTATGCAATCTTTTATCGATTTGTGTAAGTTATAGGAATACCCATGTAGGTTTTGTATTATGTAGTAATAGTGTATTAGACGGTATTAGTATATATAGTGAACGAACATACGGAGCTATCAACAATGATTGAAAAGTTGGCTATTCTGATTATGCTTCTTTGGGTGGAAATAAATTTAAGAAAGTCGAACATGCGCAAGAAGGAAATCGCTTGTACATTTACATTCCTAATACTTCCCTTATTTCCTTTTTACCTCCTTCTGCCCTCTTAATACTCCCTACATCTTTAAAACTTCCTTATACATCTATATTTCCGCATAATATATCCCCAGTTTTTCCTCATACATCCTCAATACATCCTCAATACATCCTCAATACATCCTCAATATATCCTCTAAATCCTCTAAAATCCTCTAACATAATATTGCAAACTATTTCAGTCATTGTGGATCGTTCCTTAGGCATATTTATAAATAATATGAATGTTTTTTGTGGTGGATTGTGGTTTTCATTTTTTAGTACCTTTAAGCAGGAATATGGAACTATAACACTTAACACTAGCTAAGCATTTAAAGATATAAATATGGTTTTGCTTAAGAAAGAATTGAATTGAAAAGGTATTTAAGCAAAATTTGTGCAGAGAAAAACAAAATAAATTATATATATTCTGAGAAAATTATGAATATACAGTGTGTCCCAGGCTATGGGTGTATTAGAAGTTTCTAGAGAACTACAATATCTAGATTGGAGATTTTTGCACATTACTGTTTCACAATGAGATCTATCGATTAAAAATATTTTCAATATGGCGGCACATCCGGAAATACCGGAAGGTGCCAGCAACTTTCTTATTTTAAAGGGGTACCCCCATTTTTTATTACATACTTAAATTCTCTGTAAAATTTTATGAATTTTAATATCAAACACTCTCGCAACATCAACCATTTTTTAGAAAAAAATATTTAAAATATTTGGAGAAAAAAAACTGCCTGTCAAAAAAATCTGTATGGCCCTTTGAATAAGAAGACTAAGGAAGGAGCATATCAAAAATCTTAGGTCCACCGCGATGGGCCTCAAATATGGCCGACTAAAATTCCGGTTTATCAGAGCCGTTCTAATTTTATTTAAAAAATGTAAAACTATGATGTAGGGTAGACGTCGGGTAGACTCAATAATTTTTATTTTTATTTTACGTTGTAAATAAATGTTGGTAGTTATTAAAATTGTTATAAAAATATAAAATTCGAATAAAAATAGATAAGTTATAATAATTATTTAATCATAAACATCTGATACGCTACTGAAGCAGGTAAGTCAAATTGACGTATCTAAATTCTTTGACATCTAATCTTTGACAAGTAGCAAATAAAAGCAAAAATGCAAGAAAAAATATATAATTAGTTAATTTAAGTGAATTTCATAAATGATCGGTTTACTACACGTATGCATATTATATAGTCACTTACTAGCGAAAAGTTGTTCCATTATTTCACTCGATTTTTGCCAAGATCTACCGCACGCTACACAACCAACTATTTTAGAGTCTTTTTCGATAAATAGCGATAGTGTCACTGTTAATTTAAGTTCTGCCACAATTTCCATCTAGATTTACTACCTTTATGCAACTATCAGTAGTAGAATAAATAATAAATAAGATAAAATAAGCTCCGTAAAGACTGACAAATCCACAAAATTTCAAATCAAATTCAAATGTGTCTAATGAATCGTCAAACAGAACTTATGAACAGAACTGTCAAGGATCCCCACCCTAGAGTCCTTTTTCCGCCCACCATGCATGAATACATGGATAGTATTTTGCTCCTTTCTTAGTCTTCTTATTCAAAGGTATAGCCTAAACGACAAATTTAGTGATTACCACAGCCACTGTGGCATAAGGAAATATGGCTGTCTATTTCAAAAATTAAATTGTTCGAATGTCATATAATATTGGCCGTAGCTGTCATGGTAATGAGCGATTAAAAAATTATCATAAATCATTTTTTTTAAATGGAAACCCACTTTTTTTTATTATACTAGTGAAAAGGTTTTTCAATTTTTACTTTTTGATTATACATATTCCTATACCTAAAATAATTTTTTTTTAATTTAAGATTTAGTTTTAAAGTTATTTTTTTTATTTTATCTAGCTTCCTTTGACATTAAGGGCCAAACCATCAGATAATTTATTTCCTTCTGTCAAAAAACTAATTATTTGAATTTTGTATACCGAATGATCGAATAAAAATGGCGTCAGCGATGGCTATGAAATGAAGATCGCTGTCATTTTATATGTAAATTTATATGGGAAATGTCATCGACAGTAGCGTAACTTCAAATGTGAGGCCCCCCGCAAGATTTTTTAGGGGCCCTTATATTAAAATAAAAAAAAACACTAAAAACATAATATAGCTTTATGTAGGTATATCAAGTCATTTAATATCTAAAAACAAAATTTTAACTTATTCCACATAAGAAAAAATAATAATAAAGGAACATAAAAAATAAAACATTACAAAATAAATCAACATAAAACAAAACTTAGGTACTAAAAGAAAACTAAATAATAAAAATAAATAAGCATAAATAGAATTTTTCTAATAAAAATATGATTCAAATTAAAATAAATTAATAGGAACAAATAAAATGTAAAAAAGGAACAAATAATGCGGGGCCCTCAAAATCACGAGGCCCCCCCGCCGCTGCGGGTGCAGCGGTGCCATTTTTTTTATTCGCTCGTACGGTAGTATAAATACTGTTGGTAAAACTTTATAAAGTGTATTTCTAAAAACATATCTCGTATTTTAGTGATAGCTAATGGCAATATGGCATTGTCAGATATAGTTTTACATCGCATCACGTTTAAAGTCATAAGCTACTGGTTAAAAACAAAAAATATACGTTTTAAAACTAAATCTTAAATAACTTAAAAACCATTTATTTTAGGTATAGGAACATTTATAAAGAACAATTAACGAATTATTTTTTTTACTAGTGCAATAAAAAAGTGGGTTTCCATTTGAAAAAAAATGATTTATGATAAAAAATAATAATAAAGGAACACATTTTTCAGAGAATTTAAGTATGTGATAAAAAATGGGGGTACTCATTTAAAATAACACAGTTGCTGTCAACTTCCGGTATTTTGGGATGCGCCGCCATATTTGAAATATTTATAAACGATATATCTCGTTGTGAAATAACAATGTGCAAAAAACTCCGATCTACATATTGTAGTACTCTAGAAACGTCTAATGCACGCTCAGCCTGAGACACCCTATATAGAAATTCTAGAAAAAGTTATTTATGGTTTTGCCTTTTTTTTCATATTTTTTCTGTCTTGTGTATTGACCAGTAAAAATAACCAACTACATAAATAGAATACATATTATACAGGGTGAGTGTCAAATAAATGCAAATATTTTCAGGGCTGGTATATTTCGATCTCAAATCGGTCTTCAAAATTTTCCGGTATATTTTATAAAACTTTTTAGAACTGCCAGTTCACCGCAAATTTTACCACGGTATAATTTCTTAATCCCTGATATTACCATAGTTACGGCAGTAAAAGGGATGCAAATACAGAAATAATCCGGTCGCTCTCCAATTTTTTTAAAATTTTTTATAATTTTTTTTAATTTCAAACTTTAATAACTCGGTTATTTTGTACTTATTTGTAAAACGGTGAAGAGAAAATATATGTTACTTTTATCGAGATTTGCCAGCCCTGAAAATATTTGCGCTTATTTAAGACTCACCCTGTATATACCTTACTTAATAGGTTCTTATAATAGTGTTATTCTGAAAAAAATACTGAATTATGCCCGGACCCCATTGGCCAACACGCTACGCCACGCGATGCCATGCTACCCACGTCCCGCCATCCGACGCTATAACACGCTATGACACGTGTGATGGTCGATTCGTCGGTCCCAGATCTCACCGATGTGTGTTACGGCGTGTTGTTCCCCGCTTGCCTCTCTAGTCCCCTTGTTCCAATACATTTTCTAAATCTAGTGTCCTTTTTTTTAATTTTACATTCCACAAGATTATGTAAATATTCAAATTGTTCTCTGTCCATACAAAAGTACATATGGTACCGATTAGGATCTGCCTTGAGTTCTTTAATTAGCGTATGAAAGGCACCATATTTATTGCGTTTTTTGTTTATTTTTTGTACCCAAAATCTTCTTTTTTTGCACTTTCTAATACAATAGCAGCACCTGTACACTTCACTAAAAATTCTTCGTCACTGGAAGAACTGCTTGAATCAAACATTGTTACTTTTCTAACAATAACCGTTAGTTCGAATGCAATAGAAAACAAAAATGTTTTGTTTGAGTATTCAATCAGTAAGAATACAAATTCTATTATTAATTTTAAAATTTAATAATCAAAAATTAACGAAAGAAGGTAATATCGGTATGGGTATCGATACTTCTAGTATTTTCGTATCCCTACTGACAACTTTTTTAACTCTAATAAAAATATCAGGCGTGTTACCTAATGTGTACACCCATTCCCACGTCGCAACACGTGGGATAGCGTGGCATCACGTTGGGTGTTGGCTAATGGGGTCCCGGCTTTACTTATATCTTAATCACGTCAAATAATTGTCTTTAATAGGAATATTAATAAATACAGAAAATGATTTTAAGTTTTACATATTTTTGTATTATCTTAAAGTCAGTTCCGGTGGAGGGAAAGTTAAAAATAATAAATGAAAAAAATACTTAAATCTCTGCTTGGATTTACATACTTACTGACAATATTATTATTAAAGCTAGAGAGAAAATATAAAATGTGCCACCATTACTCAATTTCGTTTATAAGCAAATATATTTTAATTTTTTACTGCCATTATAAGAAGTTTAAAAATTAGTGCTCGTATAGAATATAACGGGTGCGTCTCAAAAGTGGCTCACCCCCTATAACTTTTTTATTTTTTCAGATAAAAAAACGAGATTTGGTATGTTAGTATGGGACATAAATTAGGATTCATTGGTGTATTCAATTGTTTTTGGCCACTTCCTGTTTTACCGGAAATGACTACAACTTTTGATTTTTAAATGGCACCCTCGGTATTTTTTTACTTTATTCGATAGAAAATGACATTCTGAATAGAATGACATATCATATGTCAACTTTTGACATTCTCGCTTAATAAAAAATTGTATTTTAAAATTCACTCTGCCATGGCTATGTTAAAAACACTAATTCTTCAGTTAGAAAAGGTTAGAAAATGCTCAAATCGTATTTTTAATTATATCGCAAGTTTTTCAAATGGAACGAGGGTGGCTCATTAGCATATTTGGAAAAAGCATTTTTTTACGACTAATTTGGTAGGTACCACACACGTGGTATTTCGAGTCAAATTTTCGTTACGAACCGCAAGTTATAATTTCAAATAAACCATATGCGAAAATGGCGAAAGGTGACATATAATATGTCATTCTATTTAGAGTGACATTTTCTATCGAATAAAGTAAAAGAAATACCGGGGGTGTCATCTAAAAATCAAAAGTTGTAGTCATTTCCGGTGAAACCGGAAGTGACCGAAAAAAATTGGATACGTCAATCAATCCTAATTTATGTCATAGACTAACATACCAAATCTCGTTTTTTTAACTAAAAAAATAAAAAAGTTATAGGGGTGAGCCACTTGTGAGACTCACCCGGTATTATATCATTATTTACAGATATTTGTAAAATTTACTTTATTTGGGACTTTTATACTTTTAGAAGCAGAGTCAATATTTTAATATGTTAATTTTAAATGATTAATTTATTCAAGTAGTGTATTTTCTTATTAATAGTTTAGTTTAATTTATATTCTTATACCTACTATATGTTAGTATTATTTATTGTATTATTATGTATATCTTATATAGATGTAAAAATACAAATATAAAATAATATACATAGTGTAAAAAATGGCTGTAAAATATATTTTTATTATTTTTTCATAGAGAGAAATTTGTATAAGATTATTTTTTTAAAATAAATTAGTTATAAAACATTTTGATTTTCTTTATCATGTCCTTTAATAAAATAAATTACTATACAAAATAATGACTAATTATTATTGCTGTTTATTGAAATAAAATGTATTTTCACAAGTAATCAAGCTTATTGACGACAATAAAGCTGATCCTGAATGTAATGAAAATGAGTAATGGTGAGCATAAATAACAATAATAAAATTATACAACGCAAGGTGTCGCTACAATGGTTGACCTTGAAAATTCAATTAAAATACTTATTCAAGGCCGCATGTAATGTAGATATTTAATATATTGGTGTAGGCAACTCTATAAATACATTTACGATTTTGTGTTTCAATTGTGTGGTAATTTCTATGTTGGGACGATATCTCAAAATTGATTTCCTGATGTGTGACGACCTTGACTTTGAAATTAATATAATAAAATAAATCACTTAATACCGTACCTATAATCGAAAAAAACGGCGTCCAGTATGGCTAAAGAAATGTCATCGAACGTCATTTTTACTGTATCACAAGCAAATAAAAATTAATACGTAGCCAAGAGTCATAATTCAGGATTTCTCTGGGGGGTGCCCAGCAGTACCTGAGGGGGGGCGGCACCCCCGGGCACCCCTGTAGTTAAGCCAATGCACTTGATTAGAAAACTATTTTATAGCATTGTGTATATACATATAAAAAATATAAGAACTTAACATAGAAAACATATACAAAGTGGTGAAACAATTAAGTCAGCTAATAATGGATATTTTCTCATTATGACAACTGCTTATCGAACGTACCAATGCAGGCGTCTTCAGCGGATAACATCACGCTTGACTGCATCCGACTCCGTCACGGAGGAATGGCTTGCGTTTTGTTTAAGCTGTAGATTAGTTCACACTAGATAACGGTCACATTTTTGTGTAAATTTTCAAAGTTATAGACAATGTCAGCCGAAGAAGATATTATCTTGCTTTAGTCTAAATCTTTATATTAAAAAATAATTAGTTAAGATTAAATTTTAATTGGTGTTTAACTAATAAATTTTAATTTGATTTTAGCTGAATATCAAAGATTCTCAAGATCGTCCAACAGAACCAGGAAGACCAGCAGGTCAAAGAGACAAGTGGCTGCAAATTGTGGAGTTAGAAATTTGGTAAAGAAATAAAGCAAAGAAAACCATATATATTTTTCATTGAACTACAAAAAATATACGATTTTTTTTGTAGCTCAATGTAGATGTTGTATAGTGTTTAATTATAATATGAATAACTTACGTTAAAAATACTAGTGATACCTATAGAGTTGAAATCTCAGAGACATAGATAAATCTAGTGGAGTTTTGAAACAACTGGTTAATTGTCACGTTTATTAAGAAATAAATTACCAATTTTTGTTTTCGTATTTGTAGAATAGTAACCCTCCAGGCCCAGGACCAATCGATGCCGATTTCGCAGAAATTCCATGGCAAGCTATGATCTTAAGAGACTCCAATCGTAGTCTACTCTGTGGTGGTGTGATTATTAGACCTAATGCTGTCCTCACATCTGCCGCATGTGTTGAAGGGTAAGATCAATTTATTTAAATAAAAATATACTGATTTTCTAAGCTCTCATTAGAAATTAGTTTTCGAAGTAGTTAAATTATAGTGAGTCGCTCATTTCTATCAAAATTCTAGATTGGACACTTCCGATATCCTCATCAAAGGTGGCGAATGGAAATTGGGAATAGACGAGGAACCGCTGCCCTTCCAGATTGTCAAAGTGGCAGCTATATCGCGTCATCCTGACTTCTCCGCTGGTTCCTTACTCAATAACTTGGCTCTGCTCGTTTTAGAAGAAAATCTACGTTTTGTCAAGAACGTGGGACCGTTGTGTCTTCCTGTTCCCAACCAGATACCGACACAGAACTGTATAGCTACAGGATGGGGCAAAAGAATACTACAACGTAAGTTAACAAACCTTTTTAAATAATACAGGAATAAAACTGAGTCGTTTTGGCTATTGGGAAATAGTCAATTCATCTCCAAAAAAATCCTATATGGGTTTTTTGCCACTGCAAGAAAATCTACAAAATAAAATAGTTATTTTATGTAAACACTTCTGCTTACAGTTGAGGGTTGGAACCTTTGGTGTTACACAGCAAAATAAAAACACTAAATCACCACAATACACCAAAACACTTTTACTTTTACACTGGACGCGCGTTTCGCTAACAATGTTAGCATCATCAGCAGATGATTATAAACTAAAAACTTCTAACACTTCTGCGTTAACTAAACACTTCTGCGTTAATCCTCCTGCGTTAATCCCAAACGGAAGATTACTTGTCAGAAGTTAGGTTTAAAGATATACAAATTTGCCTAACGAACAAAAAAAAATGCTTAACGTTTCGGAAAGTTTATTCCTTTCCATCGTCGGAAGCAAAAAAATACAAAGAATAAAGAAAAAAAATATTTAAAATATTAAATTCAACTATTCGAGAACACTTTAGTTTTTTAAAACAGAGACGTCTACAAAAACCGTTGACGTTCTGTTAAAATGACATTATATCCAAGTTAAACTTCAAAATTAACAATTACTACCTGATAACAATTACTTAAGCCGAAGTCTCATGCATCCGAAATCCGATGGTACGACATCCGAAATTTGACGTTATCCTTTGAAATAAAAAAAGCCTGTCACATACATCCGAAAGTTCGTTCCGAAATTTGACAGTTTTGACATTTAGACCTGTCATTCCTATCAACAGTATCAACATTATTACAAGTATTATTGGAGAAAAACTTGGATAAAAGTAACTTCCTCGCCAAATATCCCGAAATTGCCGACTTCCCACTACACTTGTTTTTAAAAACCAATATTTTCAAAAAAAGTGAGGTTAAAAAACACACGATATCGTACTTTAAAAAATTTAAACAAAATTTAACTTTATACGACGTCGGACGAGTAGTTAAAAATATCGGATAAAAATTGGTGTAAAAATATTTCGACCAATAGGAGCACCGTCGGATCGTCGCGTCGTGTCATCGGATTTCGGATGCATGAGACTCCGGCTTTAATAAGGTAAAACCAAAAAGCCCAAACTTTCTGTATGATTATTTTTAATTTTTACGTATGTTATGTTTATTTATGTTATGTTCTTTAAAATCAAAAAAGCGATTGCCATACATTACTAACATCTACAGATGCATGAGGAATGAGCAATAAATTTATTTTTATTAGATTGTATTAAAAAAGCCTCTTTTATTTTTCTTTTAGAGATTATCGCTTTTTTCATTATAATTTTGGCATTATTATTTTTTTTGGCGGAAATTTATTCTGTGCCCTGTGTCCCATGAATGCTGACAAATCTTAGATTTGTGAAAATCTCCATTATATACCGGGTGCGTCTCAAAAGTGGCTCACCCCTATAACTTTTTTATTTTTTCAGATAAATAAACGAGATTTGGTATGTTAGTATATGACATAAATTAGGATTAATTGGTGTATTCAATTGTTTTTGGTCACTTCCTGTTTCACCGGAAATTACTACAACTTTTGATTTTTAAATGGCACCCTCGGTATTTTTTACTTTATTCGATAGAAAATAACATTCTGAATAGAATGATATATCATATATAAACTTTTGACATTCTCGATTAATAAAAAATTGTATTTATTATATTATGTTAATAATACTAATTCTAAGGAGTGTTGGAAAAATAGATTTGATCGTCTAAAGTTTTTAGTGCCTTGTCCTGGCCAGTTAGAACATGCTCAAATCGTATTTTTAATCATATTTCAAATTTTTCAAATGGAACGAGGGTGGCTCATTATCATATTTGGAAAAAGCATTTTTTTACGGTTAATTTGATACCACACACTTGGTATCTCAAGTCAAATTTTCGTTACGAACCGCAAGTTATAATTTCAAATAAACCATATGCGAAATTGTCAAAAGTTGACATATGATATGTCATTCTATTCAGAGTGACATTGTCTATCAAATAAAGTAAAAAAATACCGGCGGTGCCATTTAAAAATCAAAAGTTGTAATCATTTCCGGTGAAACCGGAAGTGACCGAAAACAATTGAATACGTCAATCAATCCTAATTTATGTCATATACTAACATACCAAATCTCGTTTATTTATCTGAAAAAATAAAAAAGTTATAGGGGTGAGCCACTTTTGAGACGCACCCGGTAAATTATATTATTCTAGATTATTTAAGAAAGGGGGATTTTCACAAACCTAGGATTGATTATGCAATAATATACGGGGTGTTTCATTTTAAAAAAATCATCCCAATCCACTAACCCTTTTTTGAGTGACTCTGGAGACGTTAAAATCTTTTCCTGAAATACATCCTAATACATAATCTAGGTTTGCACTTAAACAACATTTTTAAGTTTTTTATTATAGAAGCTACAAATGCCTGACGCACTATTGCCAGACCCTGTATAATTATTCTAATTTTTTAGTGCACGCCAAAGGAGCTATAATGCACAAAGTTGATATCGACATCATGAACGTCCAGCAATGTCAACAAGTATTGGCAGAACATTTCCAGAAGCATGTTCCCAATTACAATACCAACACATTGTGCGGATTCTCCAAAATCGACCAATGCAGAGTAAGTAGGAATATTAGGTAGAATTTGGTATACAAGACGATAATACGCGTGTACTTGTCATGTAATCCATATTCTGCATAGAGAGTTTTGTTTAGAAAGTAATAAATGAGTTTAAGCCTTAATAGAAATGCCTTAATGATTAGATGCATTAAATTTGAGGGCTGACATTCGTCAATCACCAGTGCCTCCTCCTCTTCATCACTTTTTTCATTCCCTTGCGGAGCTTCCAAAATTTCGGTCAATTCATCCGTGATTGTCAGAACCTCATCAACCTCTACAAAATTTTCCCAGTTTTCTTGGGTAGCAAAATCAGCGACCGGTAATTCACTGACCCATTTTGCTAGAGGTAATTTAAGTTTTCATCTTCAGGGGGTCACTTTTGCTTTGATGTTTAATCCACTCTGAAAGTGAAAGATTTTCCTCTTCATCAGAACTTGCGTGATCGTCCGTCAGGGCGGTAAATCCGGCATGACCAAAACATCTTGAAATGGTCTGTTGGGAAACATGATCCCAAGCTTGTGATATAAAGCTAATTGCCTCCAAAATGTTTAATTTGTAAAGATCATTAGAAGTCTCATATTTTTCTAGGACTCTCATGAAGCGGGGATTTACCGTCTACAATAAAAGGGATTCCCCGAACCCAGACAGTGGCTACAGTTCGTAACGTTGCATACGTTATCGCTCGTCGGTTATAACAATAACCGATTACTTGGACCAATTTAAGTTAAATTATTGGTCGCTATGTAAGTGCGGCGTTATCTGCGCAGTCGTTATAGGCAATACGTCTTCAATGCATATAGCATAGAACTCGGGACCTTAATATGTCGTCGCCATAACCGATATGTCTAAAATCCGATATCCGATGATATATAGCGATATTCACTGTTCAACTATTTTTTCCTAAACTATTTTGATTAAAAGAAAATATGTAAAAGTGGGCATCGCTGTAACGGTCCATATAAGCAATCACGTGACTAAAAGTTCATTTCGTATGATCTTTATGTGCATTTATTGAGGAGCTTTCACTGCCTGCAACGGAAATAAAATGAACTGAAGATAAATTTTCTCTTTCTTAAACTAATATGATAATAATGTTACAGATTGATTATGGAAGTGCACTGGCTTGTGCTGATGAGACCGGGCGTTACACACTCAGTGGCGTATTCTCGTGGGACACTGGATGCAAACAGAGAGGTCAGATCGGTGCCTACGTGGCACCCGACGTAGACTGGATCGAGAACGTCTTATCCACGCCACTGAAACAACTGAAAAGACTAGACAGGGATTACAATGCTGCCAGAGGACAAGTAGCGTAGACAGTAGACACTGCCGAAAAAGTTTATAAAATAAAAACATTACTAAAAATGCCAGTATATTTATTATAGAGCGAAATCATTTTTAATATTTTTTTATTGTTAAAAATATGTGAGGGAACAACTTATTCAATACTAGCTGATTCTCTCTCTGCATAAGGGCAGCGGCCCAGCTATATCGAAACACGGGTTCCCGATAGATCACCGAAGTTAAGCGACGTTAGACGATACGAGTGGATGGACGGGTGACCGTCTTGAAAATTTGTCGTGCTATTTTTCCATGACAAAAGTGTAAAATCTATTGACACACACTGCTCATTCATGCCGCTCCGGTTCGAGATCGGATATCTCGTGAGTAAGAGTTAAACTTCGTTCAGAACATCGCAATTAGTGGAATAAATTAGTGAATGCAATTAGCGTAGAACTTTGTTGTTTTAATTTCGATGCAAACATTCAGAACGTCAAAATTAGTGGTAGAGATTTTCAATTAGTAGAAAAAGTTATCAAACTTTTAACTTCTCCACTAATTATACTTCAAAATTTGCGAGAAATATCATTTTGACCTTTGATTATCTTCCGTCAAGAGAAATTGTGGTTAGAAATCAAAAGTTGATTGTTTTATAAGCTAAATATTAGGCTTTCTCTATGGATACAACTGACTAATCCAAGTTTTGTTGCTAGGATATTGTATTAATTTTAATTGTGTCTTTTAAACATTGTGAATGATCGTAAACTAAAAAGTGTAAAGCGTAATTGAAACCACTAATTGCGCGGTTCTCAATGAAGCTTTAGGATGATAAAGCAATCCAGATTAGACGTAGCAGCAAAAACTAAAATATACTTTTTTTCCTTTGCCTCTTCTTGGTAGAGATTAGACACTGTCACAAGATAATCAGCTAGTATTGAACGAATAAGTTAGTGTTTATAGGTGTAACAAAAGTAATTTAGTAAACTGGTAATTTGTTATAGAAAGAAAACATTTGTACTTTGTAGTTACTAAGATTCCAAATGTTAATGTTACATAAATATTTCAGTTCAGTCAGGAAGTAATGTTAATTTAATGTGCTCAAGAAAATAATGTAAAATAATTTTATTGTAATATATGTAATTAAGTAAATATAATAAATATATAAAAATAAAAGCCATGTAATGTAAAATTTCGAAAATGATGTAAATAAAGTTTTAAAAAATATTTAGTAGTTTATTATTAAAATATTTATATAATAAAATTATTTAGTCTAGTTCTTTGTTTAGTTTTCTTTGTGCTGAATCTTGAATTCAGTCCATCAGAGTTAACTGCGCCTCAAGAGCATTCTGAAAATTAAAAGACAGGGTTTTCTTCAATCATGAGTTGAGCACAAAAACGAAACTTACAACAGAGATACCTTAGGCAACTGTTAAGAATCAAATAGTCTCAACGTATCGGTACTTAAAAAAGCTAACTGCGAGAGCGCCGAAGTTATGATTACTAAATGTCGCTTAAGATGGGCTGGTCACGTATGCAGGATTCAATTCAAGAAAACCGCGTACCGAAATCTCTTCTTTACGGTGAGCTTGTAGACGGTCAGAGGAAACCGGGTGGACAACTCAAAAGGTAGAAGGATATTTTCCACGAAAACTTAAAGAGGATAAGCATGCAAAAACAGTGGGAGGAATTAGCGCACAACAGAACGCAATGAAGAAGAATTGTAAACTCAGTTAACAACGATAACCAAAAAGTAAAGAGGTAAAAAAGTATGGTTTTTGTATGTCCCGAGTGCGGACGAGATAATATCACGTATCGGGCTTTTCAGTAACAGAAAAGCTCATGAAAGAAAACGCCTTGCGTAACCACCATCTTCTGATGCGTGTCAAGTACTCGTCAGCGAGCAATGACAATGATGATGTCGATGATGTGCATATGTGTTTATAGTATCTTCGTATTTCAATATAATATGCAACTTAATAATTCTGAAATTATATTTTTGATTATTAGGCAGTTCTCATAGTGTAACTCTTCGTAAAACTGTAAACGAAGGTAATCAATTTCTCTCCGGACTAAATAATATTTTATGATATTAATAGAAAACATCTTAACCTGGATTATAATAAGCAAGTTTGTCTGTTTTTGACGTTTCTATTATTTTAAGTTATATAAGCTTAGATGACTCAATTGATGCATTGAAATTAGAGTAGTCAAATGCAGTATATTTTCCGTAATTACATTTTCTAAACAGAGCAAAAGGAGTTTTTATTGGATTGTTTAATTTAATTAACAAGGAATAAAAATAAAGTTTTATATTTGTGAAGTGAAATTTTTTACGATCGAAGAGAATAAAAATTCAAGGCCATGACACACCACGGCCTTGACACGACATGACCTTCACCTTGATGCACGAGCTAGCGAGAAGAAAAGTGGTATGGATCGCGCAAACACCAAAAAACATTTATTTAAAGCTAAGAAAATCATTATAATAAACCTGATACTGTACCTAGGTACCAATATCCTCTGGTTGTGTGCTAGGAAGTAAAGTTTCATGCATATCTTCATCGATAGGTTTGTAGCTTCTGAATAACGGTATAGGTAAAGCGTTTAGCTCATTTGCCAGCTCAGAATTAGAATTATTAGAGTTAAATAACTCGCATTATCATTGGAGGACATTGTCATACTTATTTCAAACCAATCACCAACGAGAATACTCGTATAATTTAACAAAATTACTGTACACCACTATAAATACAAATTGTTGGTTAGGTTCAACATTTTTTCTCTTCTTAAATAAACTCAAGCGTTAACATTATGGAGTGTAGAGGTAAGGAGAAATAACTCTTATGGGACTTTTATTGAAAAAGTGGTCACAAAATGGGAAGAATAAGGGTTCGCCAAATGACCACAGTGGCGCTAAAAACGCATAAATCTAAAAAATGAAAAGTAACCATAGATAAGAGAATAAAAATAAATATAACCAAACATTACCCAAAAAAAGTTTTTTTATTTTTTAGAATATAAAATAATTATTGTTTATCAATATTTTGTGCTTTATTTATTATTTAACAATGGTTAAAGTGTGTGTGGTGCGAAGTTGATTGAATAGCTGATGGAAAAATAAAGAGCAAAGGCAAAGCCTGTAAAATACATAATATAATTCAGTATTGTATTATTTGTATTATATGTAAAAATTAGAGTCAATCAAAAGTGTAGTAAACATTTTTCGTAAGATTATTGACATACATGTTACAAAGTATATTTTTACAATCCTTTCTATAAAGTGACAACCTGAATAAAATTTATTTTTAATGATTTTAAAGTTTGACAGACATGCACAAATTGTTGGCATTTTTTTAAACAAATAAAAGTAGGAAATAAATAAGGTTGTAGGTACTTTCAAGAAATATAGTTAACTGTAAGTGCTGTATTTTAATAATCTGTCAAAAATCAAAATCATCAGGATAATATTAGGTACCGTAAAATGGGGTGAATAGAAACATAGTGGTGAATAGAAACAAAATTTCTGAAAAAAATCAAATCACGATTAAAAATATACAAAGTAAAAAAAGTCGACATATCTAATTTTTCTATCATTGATAATACACAATAAAATGTAAAAACTATATTTTTATCTGTGGCAGCACTGTTTCTGTCAATCAGCTGATCAATAAATGTGAGATCGATTTATCACCTATTTTGTATGGCGCGAAAACTTTATAAATAAAATATTTATTTTTAAAGTGACACATAAGCTGGTACATGTAAGTTGTCATATTATATGTATTATTAATTATAATTAAAAAAGTTAGGTTAGTAGGTTTAACAATAATTATTGTTAAACCTACTTAAATATGTAATAATTTACTGTTTCTAATCACCTTGTTGGAAGTAGAATAGATAAAAACATTAACATCAATGTGTGTTTCTATTCTCCCGAATAGCAGGTGAATAGAAACACAAATGTTATTTTTATTTAATATTTATATGCATATTTTTCAAAAATCAAATTATATGTATACGCAAAGAACAAACAAAGACCCATGTTTTAAAATATTCGGGAAAATACTACCACATTTTTATCAACCGGTATATCGCTAATAGCCTACGAAACTGTTTCTATTCACCCCATTTTACGGTATTGATTTTCAAACAAGAATTAGATTACAGCGATGGTCAAAAGCATTTAGATATTGCTTTGAAATCTACAGATAAGGTATGGCAGTTTCGTTTTAAAGAACAAGATGTTAAAGTTTATGATAAAATTGTCATCAGAAATACTGTCCACTTGCAGTATTTACATAGGAAAATGTTGGAGGATGAAGCTCTACCTACTGCCTCAGGTTAATTTAAATTCAATAAAAAGAGTTGCAACAACAGCAACAAGCAAGAAGGGCACCATTAAATGAATATTATACACATAAGTATTATTATACAAAGAAAGAGTAATGTTATACACATAAATATTAACATTTTGTAGAGCAACAACAGAATAAAAAACCAAAATATGAACACCAGCAACTAAAACAGGAACCATTAAATGAATATTATATACGTAAGTACAATTTGATTGAATAAAAAACAGCGTCAGCGATGCCTATGAAATGAAGATTGCTGTCATTTTATATGTAAAATGATATGGAGAATGTCATCGAGATGTCATTCCAAGCCAACTGGACGCCGTTTTTTTTTCGATCATACAGTATTATTATACACATAAATAGTAATATTATACACATAAACATCCCTTGATAGAGATCAACATTTTGTAGAGCAATAACAGCATCAAATAATGGAAATAATGGACCTTATTGCACAAATCAAAAACAAAATTTCAGCATTACTACTTTATTGGTTATATCAATAAAAGAAATTGAGTTTATCAGTCTAGATCCTACAAGTAAGCAGATCTATCACATAATTTTAAATGAAGATTTATCTATCATAGTATGTATAAACACTTTGCATCTTTTATTCAATGTTGTAATGAATTAACAAATTCCAGGTAATTTATTCTAATAACGAAAAAAAAACTTTGGATCAAAAAATATTTTCTTCTGATGAGGTTTATGAATATTAAAGTCTGTTGAAGTTTGGCCATTATGTGTTGGTATACAATTTATTTATGATGTTACAGTATCCGAGTACGAAACATGTTTAAAATCCACTATTCTTAATGAATGGAAACTACCAACTTGAGAGGAAGCTAAGAGAAAGGTTCTATTGGGTGGACTACAAGGAAAAGGGATATACATGAGGATGGAAGGGCTATAACATTACGTCTCAAGCCATGGGACAATAGGAAACGAAATTCAAAGGAAAATATTACAATACGTGGGATGCAAATTATAGTGCAAAGAATTGAGAAAAAGAATTATTAAAAGTAGTTATTGTTACGATAGTTAAACCATCCGACTACCAAATATATTTAAAATCCACTATTCTGAATGAATAGCAACTACCAACTTGGGAGGAAGCTGCGAGAACGATTCTATTGGGTGAACTACAAGGAAGACATGAGGATCTGGAAGGGCTATAAAATTATATTATTCCACGTCCCAAGCCATGTTGGAATAGCTGGGAGTGAAAAAGAAGATAATACTGCACACGATTCTTGTCTAGAAGTAGTTGATATTAAGGTAGTTAAGCCAGTCCGACTATCGAACATTTAAAATCCACTATTCTGAATGAATGGCAACTACGATGGCAAAACGTAAATAAATACTTGTACAGTATAAAATTACATTATATTGGCTTAATTTTTATACTAAATAAAATGTGTTACGTAATTTTTGACCTGCATTATATTTATTTAAATCCCATATCATCAATTAAACTTTAAATAAAGTTTTCCCAATTATAATTAACATTAATTTTAAACTAAAGCTTTTTTTTCATCTTGAATGAGATTTACGAAATAACTTATGAGAAAAAATAAAAAAGAGGCTCAGTCTATTGCTTCTGAATAATCGATAATAAAACCACATGTTGACTTACTTTTATACTAAATAAATGTAGGTATGAAGTTATTTTAAAGCTGCATTATATTTATTTTAAACCCATCACCAATTATTACTTTAAATAATTTTTTTCTTAATTATAATTAACATTAATTTTAAGCTAAAACGATCAGAATGTTTTCGTCGTCTTGAATTACATTTGCGAAATAACTTATGAGAGCAATAAAAAAAGAGCCTAGTCTATTGCTGCTGAATAAAAATCTGTAATTTATTTCATGTGACATGAAAATAAATTTGTATTTTTTTGAAACCCGCGGCTTCACGTATATGATTCACGTCAAATATTTATGTCTTTTGAATCAGCTGTTCTAAAAATGTTCGGCGCATGTCTTAAATTTTAGGTTTTTGCTACAGCAGCGCCATCCTAATTCTTCCCTTTTTTTGACCATTTTTTAATGCACGGAGTTGTTTCTCCTTACCTCTACACTCCATAGTTAACATTATTAGGTAATTGCATAAAAGCGTGTATTTTGGGTGGTATTCCACAAAATTTGCAGACTATTGAGGAAACAAAAAATGTACAGATTACAGAAATAAATTGCAAGTAATATATAAATATTATTAAACAGCATTATATGACACTTTTTCAAACATGTTCTTCAAATCCTCCAATTTAATAGCTCTTAGTAAGAAGTTTCACTTCAAATATGCGCGCGCACAGAATTTTTTTAAGGAGAAGGTATAGTAAACAAATATTATAATGATATACGTATATATAAATTACTTACAACAAACATTAGTCTGTGACAAAATTAGAACAAATTAGCAATAATAAAAAAATTAAATATCTCCTTCTTACTTAACTGAATTAATCTATTTTCAGTTGTCTAAAACTACCGTCTACTCCAAAAAACTCTTTGTGACTCAAATTAAACTCAATTTTCTTCGGAACATCGACGATTTTCACATTTTCTTGAGTCTCAAACCAACCGGCATTTTCCTGCAACGCTTCATAGGACTTCAAAGTTAGTTCTCTTAACGATTTGAGATCTCCGCCATATTCTTTTGGAATGTTATCAGTTCCAAATGTATCCTGTATATTATCGTAGCTTTTATGAAAATGTATCTGCAATTAAGAGGTTATAGGTATACAGGGTGGTCCGAATCGTACTCTACTAGAGTTTCGGAGATACAGGGCGTAGAAATTTCATTTTTATTTCGATTTTTTCCAAATAATTTCTGAAGTAACGTCAATATGTGGATGAAAATTGGTGTCTAGGAGTTTTTTGACATGAGAAATTTGATTTTGATGTCATTATGACTTCTACTAGTAGAGGGCGCCACCTACATGTCTTTTAACTGGTTTGAAGAGTAATAACTTTTCGTCCGTACCTGTATAAAACTACTGGGTAAAAAATATACATTTACGAGGTTTTTTTACGTGAAAAAGGTCTCTTGGTAAAAATCGCTACGAGTAATGGTTTTCGAGATATTTGGAATTGAAATTATCAATACTTGTCAACATTGACATAAATTAAGCGTGTTGACTAAACAGTTATTAGACTGGCCAACCAAAACTGTTTTATCATCATTTTTTGCAGAAAAATTTACGATTAATTAAAAAAAAATACTAAATTTTTTATTTCAGTGAAATAACTATCTACTCAACGTGTTTATTTTTCGTCAATAATAATATGTATTGTCTATTTCCATGCTAAATATCTTAAGAACGGTTGCTCGTAGCGATTTTTACAAAGAGATATTTTTTACGTAAAAAGTCACAGAGATCTATATTTTTTTGCTCAGTAGTTTTATACAGGTACGGACAAAAAGTTATTACGCTTCAAAACAGTTAAAACACATGTAGGTGGCGCCCAAGAACGGTAAACTAATAGGATTGCTCATCCTCATAAGACGTACGTTCGCCTCTTCCCGCGCTTCAGCCGACAGTTGTGACGCCATTGTAGTCCTTGTCAAAATCTTGTGTGGCCTTGTCATGATAGTGTGTATTATTAGTTTGCCTATGGTAAACTTATAAAAATAACAGCTGAGAAATTTTGAGTTAATTATTTTGTCAATTTTAAATGTGAAAAAGGTGTCTTTAAAGTTTTTAGAGCTATACAGTGTATAAATAGGTTCATTTTGTGTTGTGGATTGTGACGAAGTGCTTACTAAGTGCCCACGATTTTGTTTATTAATTATTTTAAAGCAAAATATTGAAGTACTCTAAAAAGAATGCTTGCAAAAGGTGATGCTGGGAACTGCTGTTATTAAAAATGCATTATCCGAGTATTTAATACGATTTATACAGTTAATTTTCTATACTGCATACATATAAGGTGTTTAAATAAATAAACTAAATAATGAACGTTTTGCGTTCGGCAACCAATAATGCACGTGTGCGTATTATTGGTTGCCGGATAAGGATTAATAATGACAAGGACTACTAATGACAAGGACTACAATGACGTCACAAAGCGAGTAGTTTTCGCATGCACCTGGCGGACACTTTTGGCTGAATGAGCAGTCCTATTAGGTTAACTGTTCTTGGGTGGCGCCCTCGAGTCATATTGACACCAAAATCAAATTTATCATGTCAAAAAACTACCAGACACCAATTTTAATCCAAATATTGACGTAAATTCAGAAATTATTTGGAAAAAATCGAAATAAAAATGAAACTTCAACACCCAGTATCTCCAAAACTAAGCATTTTGGGACAAACATTTATACGAACTTTTTTAAGTATTTTTATCTGCAGAATATGCTGCCGATGTTTCCGGAATACAGTTCGGACCACCCTGTATATAAAAATTAGGTATTTCATAACGACCAGTGATATTTTTACTAGCAAATGTATTTTTTATGTATAATTAGTAGAATATAGAGACAATAAAGTCTTAATATTATTTTTTAGTTTACTATTATGAGTTTTGTCTACTGCTATAATATATTATAGCATAATAAAAGTATCGCCTTGCCTGTCATTAAATTCACCGGCTTTTATTGTCAAACTCTAGATTTTATGCACCCTATTAAAGTATAATATTTTTCCATACTCAAAAATCGAAGCGTATAATAATAACTTCTGGACTTAAATAAAAATATTTTTTATTAGTCATTTGATCAACAGTATACGGAGTAAGTGGAAAAACTTTTATGTAAACATTTTGAGAAAAATCATTCTTCATAAGAGTTTTTGCTTGTTCTAAAATGGTTAATCCCGTTTATAATTTTCCAAATTTCCATACCGTTTTAGAGAAAATTAAATAAACAAGAAGATATGTTTGAATTTTCTTTTGAAAGTTCTAGAAGTCAAAACTGGTTTCTATGGTAATATAATTTTTCATTCAAATTCAACCATATTTTCATGTTTTTTTTAATTTTCTCTAAAACGGTATAGATATTTGGAAAAGTATAAACGGGATTGACCATTTTAGAACAAGTAAAAATTTTTATGAGGAATACATTTTTCTCAAAATGTCAATAATAAAAGAGTTTTTCCTCTTGCGAAGACAATCCGGGACATACTGTATACAGGGTGGCGCACCTCATTCGCCTCGGTTGATTATACGAAAATGGAAAGATGTAGAAACAAAATATTTTATGGGTATATGTGGGGAGGCAATGTGGCACAATTTAAAATTATTTTGAAACATACAGGGTGTCTCAGAACTAAGGTTCATACCAAAGTTATATTTTTTCTTATGGAACACCCGCTTTTTTATTTCATTTTTGGATTCTTGGGCCCAAAAAAGGCATTTATTATAAGGGTTAAATATGTTTTTGAGATATTTAAAGATATTTAAATATGCATGCTACAAGATAATTGATTATCAACACCCTGTATATTACTTTTCAGAATTAATTATTGTGCTGAGTTTAAAGGTAAAAAAATAAACTTTACTGAAAAATGTTATTGTTTCCTTAAATTTATACAGGGGTACCAAAAATTAGTGACATATTTTACGGATTTATTTTACATAAAAACTTTGTTATTTCAAAAACAACACCCTGTATTTTTTTAAATAAATCGAAGCAGAATCAAATGCTCTTTCAAATTCTATTAGGGTTTCCTATATCTATCTATCTCAGATTTTGAATAAAAAGCGATTTTTAAATAAAATGGCAATCAAGATGGCTGGTATCGCAATGGCAATTTTCAAAATCGACATGAGTGTATGGACATTATTATTTAAACAGTTTACTAAAATTTACCCACAATAAGTAAGTATTCTTTAGTTTATGAAAAAAAAAAGCCATATCTGCTGGTGGAACGAATGGATGTTACTAGTGATTTTGTTTTGTGAGGAAAATTATTTCTTGGCCTCAAAAGCTAATGCTCAAAGATATCAAAATAGGAATCTTCCTGATAAGCGTTCCTTTGAAAAACTACTTGTTCTATTTCCTATTTCGCAGAATTGGTAGTGTAGTTTATAAAAAACCTATTAGGCAGAAACCTCTCGTTGGAAGTGAAGAAATTGAATTTGCCGTAATTGGCTCTCTTATAAAAAAATCATATATCTACAAGTTATCGTAAAATAAAACAAAGAACTACTTCTTCCTTTTTCTTGATAGAATAATAAATACATATTAATAAATATTATTTATTAAACTATTCTAGGTCAATTAAATAAAACTAAACTGGTATAGATTTAAATAAAGTCTATAAACTAACGTCGATTTTGAAAATAGTTACTAACTGTCACTAGAAAATTGCCATGGCGATACCAACCATCTTGATTGACATTTTATTTAAAAATCGCTTTTTACTCAAAATCTGAGTTGCATTTGAAATAACAAAGTTTTTATGTAAAATAAATCCTTAAAATAAATAACTAATTTTTGGTACCCCTGTATAAATTTAAGGAAGCAATAACATTTTTCAGTAAAGTTTATTTCTTTGCCTTTAAACTCAGCACAAGAATTAATTCTGAAAAGTAATGTACAGGGTATTGATAATCACTTCTCTTTTAGCATGCATATTTAAATATTTTTAAATATCTCAAAAACCAATGATTTTAAACATATTAAACCCTTATAATAAATGTCTTTTTTTGGGCCCAAGAATCCAAAAATGAAATAAAACACCTGGTGTTCCATAAGAAAAAAATTAACTTTGGTATGGATCTTAGTTCTGAGACACCCTGTATATTTCAAAAGAATTTTAAATTGTGCACATTGACACCCCACATATACTCATAAAATATTTTGTTTCTACATCTTTCCGTTTTCGTATAATCAACCGAGGCGAATGAGGTGCGCCACCCTGTATAATATGGGTACTCACCACATCGTGAATCTTTTGGTGCAACAACGGGACAACTAAAGAACTTAAATTCTTGACAAAAGGAGGTGAGTTTACAACGTGGATTCCCTTTACCCGAAAAGGGTAAGCTTGTCGCATTAATGTAATTCCTTTCTTCAAGTCAGTGCCCAGCCATCTTGAAATGTGGGCTGGTTCCATACCAGCAGCGTCGAGAACTGCGATATGACCTGCCACTGGTTGATCTAATATTAAGGTTAAATCACCTAAAAATTCATTTTGATGTAGTTGTGTTCTGTTGGTGATGAAATTAAATTCTATAATGTGTTGGATTTTGTAGAGTTGTATCTGTAGTAATCATTACCGTCAGATTTAGAATTTGAGAATGGAACGCCCTGTATATTATTTCTTTGTTAGATAAAGAATAAAAAAATGAACATCATTGGTATTTAAAGTATTTTAAAATTTTTAACGGTTTAGTAAATATTCGCCTTTTTATTACATATGGCTCTTATAAATAAAAAAGTATATTAAAAAATATTGAAAAAAATAAAGATAATAAAATAAAAAAAAAAATAATAAAAAAGGTGGCTTTAGTAAAAAAATACTGTTAAAAACCCATATTTTATGTAATATAATACATATTACCCTAGATCATGTACAGGGTTGTTCACCACATACGACACGGAGTATTGTAGCTAAACGATGAGATTTTTACAAATTGTAAGTTTTGGGTTTGTTGAAGGACTATTAGAGCTACAATTTAAAAATATTTTTACAAGATACAGAGTGTCCCAAATAAATAAAAAATATCAAAGTTGTATTTTTTTAAATGGAACACCCTGTATATTATTACATTTTTAGTTTCTACGATTAAAATAAAGGTAAATTTGATTAAGGTTTATTATACTTAAACCTTACCGTTTTTGAAATAATTTCAATTTTGTGAAATTGCAGTAAAAATTTTAAAGCTTCATTTCTCCAAGGGTATCAATGTTTTTAATACTAAATATTTAATGAAGTTTATTTATTGATCAGTTATTGTGTTGCAATAATAAAAATAATACTACCTTATAGAGTGTCTAAAAATTTATTTTAAATAATTATTAGCTTCAAACGGCAATAACTTCTTTAATTTAAATGGAATGCCCTGTATATTTTAGGAGAATCAGATGCACAATTAAATTGTCTATCAAATTGTATTATGCCATTTTTACCTATCCCTTTAAGTTTTCGTAGAAAATGCATTTTCTTATAATTTAGACCTCATTTATCAATGGAGTAATAATTATTTAAAATAATTTTTTAGACACTCTGTATAAGGTAGTATTATTTTTATTATTGCAACACAATAACTGATCAGTAAATAAACTTCAGTAAATATTTAGTATTAAAAACTTTGATACCCTTAGAGAAATGAAGCCTTAAAATTTTTACTGCAATTTCACAAAATTGAAAGTATTTCAAAAACGGTAAGGTTTTAGTATAATAAATCTTAATCAAATTTACCTTTATTTTAATCGTAAAACCTAAAAATGTAATAATATGCAGGGTGTTCCATTTGAAAAAAATACAACTTTGATATTTTTTTACTTATTTGGGACACTCTGTATCTTGTAAAATTATTTTTAAATTGTACCTCTAATAGTCCTTCATCGAACCCAAAACTTACAATTTGTAAAAATCTCATCGTTTAGCTACAATACTCCGTGTCGTATGTGGTGAACAACCCTGTATAGATACTTACATGGATAAGTAAATCGCTATGGAAACTGTCGCAAACATTTGAACGACTTCCATTTATCCGCTTTTTTTGTTGCACATGCGGTGCTTCTACTCTATCTATCCTTGTCGAGGACCTTTCGTCCACGCGCCAAATTTGAACATTAATTTTAAAAATTTAATTTGTAAAATGCATATATTTTAACAATAAAGTGAAAGTTTACTGTCACAAACATTAAACTATACAAAAAATACATTTAGCCACTCCGTACGAATATCAATATTCTTAGGAAATCTAACCAGAAAGTATGCATTTGGTTTAATATGAATAAAAGAACAACTGAATACTTTTCTTGCCTATGAAATGATAATTCGGGGACCATTATATTAGTACTTCCACACACCAAATATTTTCTAGTCATTTTTACGAGTATTTAGAAAGTCTAACGAAAAAAAAAAGAAATATAATTGCACAAACATAAAATTAACTTCTCACTGAACACACTATATCCTTGGCTATACAAAAGCAGTGGATAAAAGAGAAAATACAATTTTTAAAATTAACACGCAAAAAACAACGCGTCGTTACACAATGGAAATAAGATTATAACCAATCACAAAACATCCCCCTTTAGAACTTCTTCTGTCATGTTAAGAAATGAAAGTAAATAATGAAGCGCCTCTCGTGTTTGTTCGCACTCAAAAAATTTCAATTAATGCCTGTATATATTTTTAATATATTTTTTAAATTTACATTTTTTTAATTGTAAAGTAATATATTACATTTAAATGGAATATATTACATAACAATCATGTTAATTACAGGATTACAAGCTTGTTTTCTAACATTTTTTAAATAAAACGAATTATACATTTTCAATATACATATGTATATTTGTCGTAGGTATGAAAAAAGTAAAATATAAAATGGACAAACGCTTACTTACATTGCAATAAAACTTCCACTTTTAGTTTTGCAATCCAAACGCAATATTTCTATTTCACAAATAAAAATATCCGACAACACTAAAATCACTGAAACTTCCGCGGCTGACAACGAAAACTGAAAAATATAACGGTACTTTTTGTTTTAGACCTATATATCAACATTACGCTGTACTATTATGTGTTTGTTGTTGAAATAATATAAAATATCTAATTATAACTTGTAAATTTTAATATTTTAACATGATTTTAACTACTTTTGACAATAACTAACTTTTTGTTATCAAGATGACATTTAAGACGGCAACTGACATATATGTCATAATATTTGAATCTTAAATATGTATGCAATATAATTTAAATTACTATAATGCAACTTTATACTAAGAAAACATTTCTTCAATTCACAAAATCTTCATTCACAAAATACAACAAAGTCTAATAATATAGTTTGAAAACAATGAATATTGAATTAAAATTAAAAAAGTTAAGCGCGACCCCTTGTGTCAAAATTAGATGATTAAATTTTCGCACCACCATTTTTTACACCATTTGATGACCGGTGGCGCCTCTAGTGTTTGTTCGGGCGGTTGGGCTTTTACTCCCGCTTATGGCCATTAAAGAAAAAGTTCTAAAGGGGGATGTTTTGTGTGACCAATGACCAATTATGACATGATTATGACAATATGAAGCCAATGGAAAGTTGGTTTCCATAACAATGTATAATTTGTACTTTCTAAACCGTATAAAACTGTGATTCTTTTGGAAATACGTGCAACTTTTAATGCGCATGGGCGCAAGGTAAGGTCCTTGGAAAAGACAAACCTATTGAAAGTTTCATAAGTGCAATAAAGAATGTTTGAAAATCGCATGTCGTGATGTTGGAGACACATATATTTTTTAATGCTAAACTTATGGCGTTGATTTATCCACGTAAGTATATAGGTATAATAATATGATCTAGGAATATTACACATATCCGCAAAACCGTTAAAAATTTTGAAATATTTTATATACAAAAAATGTTAATATTTTAATTATCCATCTAACAAAGAAATAATATACAGGGCGTTTTATTAAAAAAAAACGGAGAAAAGCTATTATATATTTTAGAAAGTTTGGCATGGAATTTTGAGTACATTGTGTTTAAGATTGCTATATTTATCGAAAAGTATAGTATAGACCAATTAATTATAGTAAATACATAGTATAGTTTTGATTTCAGGACATTTCTGGTATTTTTAATATATTTTTTAAAAAAGGCCGAAAAAAATATTTTTTTTAACATATTAGTATCTCTAAAACTACAAAAATATATTTAATAATATTTTAGGATTATGTAAAATGATCAGAAAGGAAGCCAAAAATGCATAATATACAGGGTGTTCCATTTAAGAAAAATAATCGCGACCACTACCACTTTTTTGAGCCACCCTGTAGAAGTTAAAATATTTTCCTGAAATACATCCTGATACATATTTTAGATCTGCACTTAAACCAAAGTCCTAAGATTTTTATTATACGCACTTACTCAACATAAAGAACAACTTTGCCATACTCCCTGTAGAAAATTTTGACGGGTCTGTAATGTTCAAAGAAAAAAAGAGCAGCCGGCAACCATTTTTTGTTAGTTTTGGCATGGATGCTATATTCCTGCAATAATAAAAAGTAAAATTTCATTAAAACTAAACTCAAAAATATTATATTTTTTCATATTTCCATAAAAAAAGTTTGTCTTAAGCTCCCTCGTTTTTCTAAGTAAAAATATCATTTATGATTTTAATCTGTCTTAAATCCTACATTACTAAAGTTTGAAAAGCTTTCATAAAAGCCTTGCTGTGGTAGTTAAATGTTTAAAGCCACTTTTATAACATAGAACTTTTATTATGAATTAAGAAGGAAACGGTGTGTACTAAAATACCGTATGATTGAAAAAAAAACAGCGTCAAAGACTGCTGGGGAATTGCAACCAATAATAATTTTAGGCGAGGTCAATCTCTAGACGTCGTTTACTAAAATTGACGTAAAACTTGTCAAAACTTAACACTAATAATTACAGAAATATTAAAAAAGGATAGAACGTTTCCAGACAAACAAATCAATTTTCAACAAATTTTTTTCCTCTAATTTTAAACTAATTCACCATTTAAAATCATTTTCATTCAATATAAAAATAAAATGCAACCTTAAGGCAAGCTGGCAGTAAGTACCATTAAAAAAGAAAAACGAGTACGTGCCAAGTATATATAACATTTAAGACTTGACCTTGCTAAAATTATCATCGATTGTTATACCCACCAGTCTTTGACGCTGTTTTTTTTTCGATTGTTTGATATCCTTAAGCACAAAATAAAAAAGAAAATAAAGTACAAAAAATAATGTTGATTGAAACAAATTAGAAGCAAGATGTATAAACTTTTGGGCAAATTCGTATCACCGGTATCACAGAGTATATTTCAGTCCAAAAATGGACAAGCTTAGGGGTCGTCATTTTCTTGACAACTTCTTGATCTTGTCTTGAAGAAATGATTTTTGGTTTTTAAGACAAGACAAGAAATTACTTCTCAAGATCGAGATTTCTTGACAAGAAATCAAGAAAATCTTGGAATTTCTTGAAAATATAATATAAAAAAGAAATACTGATTTACTTAGGTATTTGTATATTATAATATGAATATATTATAATATATTATATATTATAATTTTATATATAAAAAAAATAATACATTTTAATGTACGCCACTGAAGTAGAGTAGCTTTTATCATTGTTGTTTTGACTGTTTTTATCTGTAGTAGTATTATATCACCGTCAATACTGTCAAAGTCACTAATTAAACTTCTACGTGCACGTGTCTGAGGTGGTAGGTATTCTGAACTAGATTCATTTACGAATGGCTCAGATTTGCTGCTCAACGAACCATCAGAATCACTCATTTTAATGTTGGATAATAATAATAATAATTAACAAAATTATGTAAATCTGATGATTTTGGCAACTGTAGTATAATGAGCTAAAAGTTTTTGAATTTTTTGAAAATGAGATGCCTGACCCTCGATTTGACGCATAAAGGACGGTCCACACTTCCTATATAAAGTACGGTCCACACTTGCTATATAACACTGCTATATATAGCAAAGTTATACAACATGTTACATGTTTTAGTCATATTTAGCAAATTTCGCTGCTATATAACTTGCTAGATATTATCCATTTGTAGTCGGTAAAGATCAAAAGATGTTGTACAACACTGCTATTGTAACATGAAACAATGCGTCCAGACTTGCTAAATTTCTAGTTTAGCCGCTCATATTTTCAGGGACGTACGCGCCAGAATTTTAGTGTGGTGAACTGATATTGGTTTGTTTATTTACTGGTAGTTATTAATAATGTTTTTAAAAGACAGAAACACATCACGAGGACAGCCGAGGAAGGTATTGAAAAGGTAAGCTAATTGAGTTCAACTATATCTAGATCTCTTGCGGACTCTAAACCGCTTTTTTCTCGACTTTCTTTCTCTTTCTTCAAAAATAATTACGCACGCTGCTGCTACGAGCAGAACCTCCTCGTCAAAACGATTCATGATTACGAAAACTATAATGTGGACGGCTCCCGGTTTTTAACATGTTATATGTAGCTTGTTAAATAGCAGTGTTATATAACATGTTACTAAATGTAGACCCTCCTTAACACTGCTATATAGCAAAGTTATATAACTTGTTACATATTTAGTGGTTATATTTAGCAAATTCCGCTGCTATATAACTTGCTAGAGGTTAACCATTTGTAGTCGGTAAAGATCAAAAGATGTTGCGCAGCACTGCTATTGTAACATGAAACAACGCGTCCAACGTGGTGAGCTGATATTGGTTTGTTTATTTACTGGTCTATATAATACGTAAGTATGATCGAAAAAAAAACTGCATCCAGTCTTGGACATGACGATCGATGACATTCCCCATATAATTTTCCATATCAAATGACAGCGATCTTCATTTCATAGCCATCGCTGACGCCATTTTTTTTCAATTGTATGGTTCTTATATTATTAATGGAGTAGAACCAAGAGCAGACTGTCAACTAATTGAGTTGTATATGGGATATCCGTAGTCCTTCATTTAAAGTAAAATAAAAAAAACGCATTGCAAAAACTATGTATTAAAAAAAAATAATGTATTAAAAAAAAAGAAAAAATGCGTTATCTAATAGACCAGTTCCAAAGAGAACAAAAGAAATGCAAATCAGGTACTGGTTTAGATGAAGTGGATAATTCAAAATGGTTTGCTTTTAAGTTATTAATGTTTTAAAAGACACAAACACACCACGAGATACAGCTGAGGCAGGTATTGAAAAGGTAAGCTAATTGAATTCAACTATATCTAGATCTTGCTAGTCGGCTATGGCGGACTCAAAACCGCTTTTTTCTCGACTTTCTTTCTCTTTGTTCAAAAATAATTACGCACGCCGCTGTTGCGAGCTGAACTTCTTTCTCACTAAAACGACTCATGATTAAGAAAACTATAATGTGGACGGCACCCGGTTTTTTAACATGTGATATGTAGCTTGTTAAATAGCAATGTTATATAACATGTTACTAAATGTAGACCCTCCTTAAAGCATAAACATCACACTAACCAACCCCACCGTGACTTTTAAACAGGGGAATGAAATTTGAAAAGGGGAACTTTAATAAACGAATTTTAAACGGGGGTTCCCCTTTTGTCAAGATTTCAAGAAATTTCAAGATTTCTTGAATCAAGACAAGAAATCAACTCTCAAGAAATGGTCAAGACAAGATTTTTTTTTAATTCTTGAAAATATTTCAAGACAAGACAAGATTTCTTGTCTTGCCGATCCCTAGGCCAACCATCTATAATACTGTTATAAGTTCGTTTATACAGGGTGGCGCACCTCATTCGCCTCGGTTGATTATACGAAAACGAAAAGATGTAGAAACAAACTTTCTTATGGGTATATGTAGGGAGGCAATGTGCATAATTTAAAATGATTTTCAAATATACAGGGTGTGTCAGAACTAAGATACCAAAGTAATGTGGTTGTTGTGTCGTTACGCTATAGAGGGGACTCAATATTTGGACGGTTTAAAATTTGCATGGGATTTCCTGTTTCCAACCACCCTGTAGAATATCTAATAATACAATAAAAGGTCTCTGAACTGGATGGCATATATCCATCATGAGCAAACGATTAGCTTAACAATCTTGGGACAAGAAACTCGCCAATAAGATAGCGCATATTCCTTTTCCGTCTCAATCAGAGCTAATAAGTCAATCTCTTACACGACATCCATCGCCTGTAGAATATCCTTCGTCAAAGGGAATCGGTTTAAGTACACTTCCTGATACAAGTGCCTCGCCGACAGATAATTCTCCAATTTTCTTTTGGCCCGATCCAGATTATGTTTCGTGCCTCTAAGGAACGTTCTGATCACATCCGACGCTGGAAAACAAAAAGGAAAATTTTCCGTGAAAAATCTAACCGAAGAGATAATAGAATTTTCGTGGCGGTGGAACACTGGAAAATGCTCGGTTTTAGTTAAAAAGTCTTTGAACTCGAGCCATAAAAGAAAGTTACAAAACTTATTTATATTCCCTAAAAATCTTGTTAAATGTAATTTTTGAATCTTCGTCTTGGTTTTGTTATTTTTTATATGTATGTGTAAAGAATATTCTATATACAGGGTGTTTCAAAATCGTGTGCCATCTCTCGTTGTCAGATTCCTCACGTATAGGCTTGGTGCATTTCAGCTGATTTCAACAAATTCCGACCGCAGCGCTTCAACGGTAAAGAATTATCAGTATATTATTTCACGCCGCCTCCGGCCGCACCGTCATGTTGATCGCATTAAAATAATATTGAAATCGTGATTTTGTCATAATACTTAAGTATTTTGTTTTTTTTGCTAGTGCAGTGACTGAGACTATACATAGAAGACCAGGCTACTAGTAACGTAGCAAGTTGCCGGACGAATTTACGTTTACCCGTTTTGCGTTCGTATTCGAGAGTCACTGCCGGCTAGTCGGCTGGTCAGGCAGTACGTAGTTGCAGTTGTGCTTGGACGGGTCGGTCCTGACAGACTAGGAATATGACGCGAGGAGTGCCGTGTATTTATTATTTTTATTTTAAGTGTTTAAGGTAATATTTAAAATAAAAATACTTAAATATTTATTATTTGAGTGTGTTTACAAGCCAAAACTAAAAATAAATAAATTCTCTAAACTCAAAAAAAAAAACTATAATATTACTCTAAATAAAAAAAAGTTATAACAAGTGTTCAAAAAAACCACCTTCTTGTGCTAGACAGAAGCCTAGGCGGTCGTAAAATCCCCGTCTGTCAGTGGCTAACATATTAGGGCTAATAGTTTGGAAAGCCTCTCGTATTTTTACTTGAAGCTCATCCAGATTATTAGCCCCATTATGACCATACACTTTGGATTTTACATAACCCCACAAAAAGAAATCATTGGGAGAAAGATCTGGTGATCTAGCGGGCCACAAAATAGTTCCATGTCCACTAATTAAACGGTTGGGAAAAGTATTGTTCAAATATTCTTGAACAATACGGGCATTGTGGGCAGGGCAACCATCTCAGCAATTTGATTACTTGAAAACGTGGGATTTTGATCCGCGGTAGCACAAACGAACACTAGCTTTAACTCCTGTTCTTCATTAATCAACACATCAGGCTTTTTGTGTTTTTGTGGGGACACGCACCCATGTGTTTCAAAATTATTAATAACTCTTGATATAGTAGGTAAAGATGGAATTGGCCTGTTTACAAAAGTTTGTGGAAAAATTGTTTGTATATCCCGATAAGACCTATTTTGGAAATACCATTTTACAATTTGAATTTTCTCACTGAATTTTCACACACTCAACTTCATAAACATCCATGATTTTACTTAAAAAATAAATTTTACACGAGAACTGTCGCGAGAATCTACGTAGTATTCGTTTTGGCTATTAAAACACGAATAAATACAAATTCTGGAACATTCTTATCACATATCGACCTATTTTTATTTTATCGCACTTTTTCGCCTGCTTTTTATCCGGCGGACGGGTATACGCTAATTCGTCCGGTTCTGCCTATGTTACTACTACGGTGGTCCGGTCTGTATAACACTCACAAGTACGAGGTTTGTGTGATATAATGCTGTTTCGGGTACTAAAAAAATAAGTGAAAAAGTATTTGAACTAGGCGTCGCGTCGTGTTGTGTTGTAACAATTTTAAATGTTAATAAAATTGCCAAAAAATGTTAACACGTAAAGGAGAGCGTAATTAAGGCGTTGTTGGGTGCAATAACATTCAATAACTCAACTTTCCCGGATATTCAACTCTCCCGAAACAACATTTTATAGCTTCACAGTTTCTCACACCGATTTGATCAAAAGTAAAAATGGATTTAAGCAGTTCGACAAAACAAGTGAGTAGGTAAACAAAGGGCTGGTTATATAATCAAACAATTAAATAGACATATACTATGAGAGAATCTACCTACATATATAAAATGCTAATGTTTATCTGTGTCGTCTCTACTGAAGTAACGACTTGCTCTAGAAAGTTGCTTTTTTACTAAAAGACAGCTAATTGGCTCTTCTAAAAACTGTCGTCGCCAGACCTTTTGTTTTTCATTTAATTAAAAAAAAAAATAAAAAGAATTTTTTTTTCTGATGTCGTGGCGGATGTCCTGCCAGGCTTCAACTAGTGATTAAATGTTTTTAGAACATCTTCTAAAATTATAATTATGTACCTTAATTACCTTTGTAAAATTTCGTTATAGCCGACATAGCCCCGCTAGCGAAACAGGTGATTAAAACTATGCTCGCTACCGTAGTTGAACTATTTAAAAAGCTTTTTAACTGAAATAATAATTTATAATACAAATTAGACCTTCTGAAGATATCAACATATTTAATTTTCTATTTTTATTTTTAGAATTTTCACAAATTATACTTCCTAATACTTTTAGAATGATTAAGTAATAAATTTTTTATTTTTTATTTAAACCCTTGTATTTGTATATACTAGTTGTTTACGATATTCTCCGATGGTGGCAGGACCGACGTAGAATGGCACCAAGCCTATAAAACAAATAAGATGTATTTTTTGTAATCTCTCCACGAGAGATGGCACATGTTTTTGAAACACTCTGTATACTTAGACAAAAAATATATTAAATCATGAACCTAAACACAACATTAAAAAACTAATCAGCACTTATTTCATTTAATTTTATTTCGAACAGAACCATGACCTATATTAAATATTATGTTTTATATAACTTTGTAAACGCTGGTTTAATTTGATTTTGTAAACATCATCATTAATTAAAACTACGAATTTTAATTAAAACATTACGTTATAACAGTATGTGTATCCGCTAGATATTTACCTATATTTCTAGGAAAATGCGGTTGCCATTTGATCCATTCCACCATCAAGGTTTCGTTGTGCTGTAGTTTTTCTTCATCAGATTCGTTTATCTCGTTTAGAATATACTGGAGCAGTTCGGGACTTGGAAGTTCGGTATATTTTTCATAAAGTTTTCTGCACATCTACAAAGAAAAGTTTAGAATAGTATACACAATTAAAAAATAATCGGGAGCTCGGAAACTAAAAGAGATATGATGCCGGTTAAATCGAGGCAAAGTTGTGCAATTTGATGCTGTTCTATAGCACCCCATACACCAGAAGGCCTGGCTTGCGGACCAGACCTTGCGACCAGGCCTGCAGATATGGCCTGTCGCCAAAAATACGAGGGTTTTGTGTGAAGGCCAAGTCTACCGCGTGCGTCTCAGAATTGGCTCACCCCTATAACTTTTTTATTTTTTCAGTTAAAAAAACGAGATTTGGTATGTTAGTATATGACATAAATTAGGATTGATTGACGTATTCAATTGTTTTCGGTCACGCCCTGTTTCACCGGAAATGACTACAACTTTTGATTTTTAAATGGCACCCTCGGTATTTTTTTACTTTATTCGATTGAAAATAACACTCTGAATAGAATGACATATCATATGTCAACTTTTGACATTTTCGCATATGGTTTATTTGAAATTATAACTTGCGGTTCGTAACGAAAATTTGACTAGAAATAGCTCAACTTCACTCTCTTCCAAGGCTCAATTAGTGTTTTTAACATAGCCTAAACTCTAGATTGAAATTTAAAATACGATTTTTTATTAAGCGAGAATTTTAAAAATTGACATATGATAATATGTCATTCTATTCAGAATGTAATTTTCTATCGGATAAAGCAAACAAATACCGAGGGTTCCATTTAAAAATCAAAAGTTGTAGTCATTTTCGGTGAAACAGGAAGTGACCAAAAACAGTTATTGAATACGTCAATCATTCCTAATTTATGTCATATAGTAAAATACGAAATTTCGTTTTTGTATTTGAAAAAATAAAAAAGTTATAGGGGTGAGCCACTTTTGAGACGCACCCGGTGTTCGTGGAAGGCCAAGAATTCTATCGATTAAAAATATTTTCAATATGGCGGCACTTCCCAAAATACAGGGAGTTGGCAGGAACTTTCTTATTTTAAATGGATACCCCAATTTTTTATTACATACTTAAATTTTCTTTAATTTTTTATGAATTTTGATATCAAACATTCAATAGCTAATATTAACCTGTAAAAAAAAATATTTAGAATTTTTGGAAGAAAAAAACTGACAAAAAAAAATGGTATAGCTAGAGGAGTGCCTTAAGCCCTTATTGGAAACTTCGGAATTCATATACTGTGAACGAATTTTTATAAAACTTTCTGCGTTGTATTGTTAATAAGATATATTACAAAGTTTACCCATTTAAATTCGTTGCTTTCACTTTAGTATTTAAATAAACACACATATACAAATGCATGCATATACAGGGTGGTCCGAACTGTATTCCGGAAACTTCGGCAGCATATTCTGCAGATAAAAATAACTAAAAAAAATTCTGTATGTCCTAAAATGCTTAGTTTGGGAGATACAGGACGTTGAAGTTTGATTTTTATTTCGATTTTTTCAAAATAATTTCTGAAGTAACGTCAATATTTGGATGAAAATGGGTGTCTGGGAGTTTTGTGACGCAAGAAATTTGATTTTAATGTCAAAATGACTCCTATTTGTAGGAGGCGCCTCCTACACGCGTTTTGATTGTTTTGAAAAGTAAGAACTTTTCGTCCGTACCTGTATAAAACTACTGACTAAAAAAATATACATTTCCATGAATTTTTACGTAAAAAATATCTCTTGGTAAAAATCGCTAAGAGCAACCGTTCTCAAGATATTTAGAATGGAAATAGTCAATACCATATCATTATTGACAAAAAATAAGCACACGCTGAGTATAGTTATTTGACTAAATAATAATTTTTTTTTTTTTTTAAATTAACCATAAATTTTTCTGCGAAAAGGTGATTAAACAGTTTCTGTTGAACTTTTGGCACAAAAAAAATTAAAATTTATGATTTTAGTCTAATAACTATTTAGTCAACATGTTTAATATATGTCAATGATGACAGGTATTGATAATTTCAATCCCAAATATATCGAGAACCATTACTCGTAGCAATTTTTACCAAAAGACCTTTTTTATGTATAAAAAGTTGTAAATGTATATTTTTTTACTCATTATTCTTATACAGGTATGGACGAAAAGTTATTACTCTTCAAACCAGTTAAAACATATGTAGGTGGTGCCCTCTACATGTAGGAGTCATATTAACATGAAAATCAAATTTCTCATGTCAACAAACTTCCAGACACCGATTTTCATCCAAATATTTAGGTTACTTCATGAATTATTTGAAAAAAATTGAAACAAAAATGAAACTTCTACACCCTGTATCTCCGAAACTAAACATTTTAGGACATACATTTATATCATATTTAGTGATGCCCTGAAAATATTTGCACTTATTTAAAACCGTATTTCTTCAACCTGGGCTATCAAGTCCCATAGAAAATCTTATAAAATACTTAATAATACTAAAATTTTAAATAATTCTAGTACTTAGTACTCTTTATTTTGTAACTTTTTTACTTGATAATGGTGAGTGATTAATGACTATCCGAAACGTTGTAGAAAAAAAAACGTCGTATAAATAAAAAAATAAGAGTAATGCAACTTTAATAAGACAGGTTTGTTTTTCAGAAATTAGTTAAAATTAAAAAAAAATTAAAACATATTTTGTTACTTACCATTTTATACCAATTTTATTAACTGTTACACGATTATACTTTCCCAAAAACTATACTTAAATGAAGTGATTGAAAATGACTAACTTAATAGTCTGCTTGAAATTAATAACAAATTAGATCGAAGTATGGCTATAGGTATGTTTATTTTTTCCTATGACGAGGTCGGTTGTAGTGAACTTTATTTATACGCATTGTTTTACTATTATACTAATTCTAATAACAATAATTTATTTAACCATACACACATCAGCATTTTTCATATTAATTTTCCAGAAATTAAAATAATATGCTATTTTTATTATAATTTTCTTCTCAGTGCTTTTAGTAACTCGAATAGAATTTTGAGGGTAAAAGTGCTACATATTTTAGTACTAAAAAAGTGTCCATATTGTCCATATATTCGCCAGGAACGTGCATATGGGTTATCGTTGGAATACACAAATTGTTAACAAAATTGTGTAAACCATTTAATGCCGATTAAAAGTCGCCTGTTGATATTTTGTCGATTTCGGTCTGCTTGATGAGATAAACGTAATTTTATTAATTTGCTTTAATCCAAGTCTAATAGCACCCTTCATTTTTATTAATGTCATTAGCTGGGGCCAATGTGTTAAATAAGTACTAATTGATTTTTCATCAAAAATAGGAAAAAAAAAGATCCTACAAAAAGATGGGCTACGGAAATTGATAGTTTTAAAGATAGAGGATGTTAAAACTTTTAAAAATTGGTCTTTTGTTAATTATCTTTAGTACTTACAATTATTTTTTTTTTAATTTGCTATCGGTAGTACTGAACGTCAGTTTTAATAAAATCTAGTACTATAGGTAAATTATATTATTGATTTATTTTTTTTTTATTTCATTGTGGTCAATAAAATCTCATCAGCCTTTAATCAGCATTTAGGTTGATTCTCACTATACCTTTCATATCAGCTTCCTTGTCCTTGAAACAGCGTTCTCAAGTTCTGATATTTGTACTAGTACTTGTTAAAATTTTGCTGATATTTATTTATTCTCTCACCTCTTATTAATTAAATCTATTACCTTATTCAAAAGATATAAATTTTTAAAATAAAGCTTTCCTAATGATATAAATTGTACAATAAAAAGTATGGAACTGATACGGAACGGAAGCTTACGTATAGCATCAATACAATAAAAAATACGGAACGGATATGGAATGGAAACGGGAGGTATAGTGAGAGAATCAACCTTTAAACTGTTGCGCGGGAAGCTGCGGGAAATCAAACGACACTTCTTTGATAACTTGGAAACGACTATTTATTAATTAAACAAAACGTACAATAGAAAAGTTATTTTTATATAGTACAGACATCTACTGATAGGTGGCGTAGTATGTGCCTTTTTTGATATTTTCCAACATAAATAGCCAACAGAAATTTGCTAACGACAGAAAAAAAGTCAGTGGCGCACATTTTTATTTTGAATAAGTTTTCGATTGAAAACCCAGCACGTTACTGATGAATCTGTCGACATTTTTTTTAAATACAATAATAACATTAAAATAAGTAGACTTATAGCGACTTTTACCCTCAAAATTTTATTCGAATCACGAAAAGCACTTGGAAAACAATATACATATAATAAATTGAAAAAGAATAAAAACCCCTGGGGCTACAAAACAAAGCAGAATCGGACCTATGTTGATATAAAAAATAAATCTTATTTTCTACTTGAGAGAGAATCTCCCCAGGAGAGACGGCACGTGTTTTTTGAAGCACCCTGTATGTTCTAATTAACAAGTCTTTCAATAGAGAACTATTAGAGCGACAAATTTGTCGACAAATTAACATTCAATCGAGATGCGGCGGTTCAGATCGAAGACAATACACGCGATCGATCCTCTGCAAATTCCGATCATGGTCCTATAAATAACAGAAATTCACGTCGCCGTCGGCCATTTCCTGAGGGATCAATCGCGTACGGTGCTAGGGAAATATTTTTTCCAATCGCGTGTCCGCATTTCCTCGGTTTAAAACTCTGGATTCTATTCCCGTATCTCTGCAGTAATAAAAACATGGAAATCACAGCAATACGAACACAAAAGTATAATTAGAGTGTGAAATACACTTAAAAATGGCACTTTGCAAATAACAAAAATATCAGATACGTTCTTGAAACACGTGGATCAAATTAGGTACGACTTAACAAGTATAGCTAGAGACGTGAGAAATATAAAATAACACGCGACCGGTGCTATCCCCAAGTCTCTTCCTATATTTGTACAACTAAATTTATTATGTTAGTAAATACCACCGAACATGCCAGAAAAAAAAATAACATTAGTTAATTCCTTAGTTTAATTCTAAAGTAGATTTTTAATTTCCCATAGAGCACATCAAATCACATTTACGATGTGTTTACATTATTAGATGTAGACACAGAGTGACACAATTCCCCCGATGTAAATATGCTACGTTTACACATTGTAGTTCAACACGTATGCACAAAGGTTAAACGTCCGCCTCACAATGTAGCCACAGTATAGCATTTACGTATACACAAAGTAAGGGATACACAGTGTGCCGTAGGATACACAGTGCTTGTGTATTACGTTTAAACTATGTTTACACACTGCAGTTGTGACTACCGCGTGTATACGTATGTATTTTGCTTCGTATATACATCTTGTGCTAGATAAAACTACTTCTTATAAACGAATTTAGGAAATAATACAAGTTTTGATGCCTAACTTTTCGTTCTTTTTAAGAAATATTTATTCAATGATACCAATTATATCTTTTTAGAACAAAAATTAGGAAGGCAAAACTTTGTATTTTCCAAAAGTATCTCGATCATAAGTTCAAGAGAAGTAGCCTTAAAATTGTTCCATTTTTGTTTTGTATTAAATGTACCATTTTTCTTCCATAAAATGGATTAAGTGGTTAAAAAATAAAATTCTTATATTTCTTTATATCATGGAACGCAATAGCGCAAATAACACAATAATAATTATTATTTACACTGCTGAAACCAGAAGTAAGAAAACACTGTAAAAGAACAGAATTTGTATCAAAATGTATTAAAAATATAAGTACCTAGTATAACAACATACTAAAATCGTAAACATGGTAACATGGTGTAACAAGGTAATTAAAAACTTGTACTTACCTTAAAATCTCTTTTAAACTACACACAAACAGAACATTTATATAGAGTTTCCGAATGATAAAACAATAATGGCTGATAACACATACCACTCCTAGAAAGGAGAAAGGAGAGAGGACACATAAGATACACTTGGTCGGTGTATCTACGCTGAGGCTATCCGCGCACGCGCACACCTTTATTTCATGCTAGAATGTAGACACAACAGTACACTATTACAAAGTGTCTATATAGATATTTATATTATGTGTATACTTCATATTTTTACAAGGTGTGTACTATAGGCACAACTATGATAAGAAGTATCACACATACATATGACTTATACATTGTATGTCTCATATACCGACGTCAGATTTCATCATTTTAATAATTATTTGTTACGTTACAAAAAACTCTTTAGAATCTTGAGTGCATACGGTATACAACTAGTAAACACTGTATCACACAATTCTATCAATATAAACATGCGTGTATCTCATATGTATATGTTAGAACTAGATGAACACTTAGGTTCACTTTAACATATGTTGTTTCTCATGTGTCTCCCTTGTAGAAACGTAATTTCATTTGGACGTGCTATAAGGGTTATAATTGATTGATTTACTACATGGAACGTGTATTATACCGGCAGTGGCGGATACAGAGGTAAATCAGAGTAAATGATAAAGATACATTCCTTCGACCAATTTGCTGTTTTTTCTTATTATTTCTAGATGTTTACGCATTTTTTCACTTGTCACAAGGTTGAACGATCAGGTGCGGTGTCAATATCGTTAAACTGACCTACAATAGAATTTCCAAAAATACCAGCCCGCGACGATCAAAATCGTCTTCGTTCAGTTCTTGTACCAACTGAATTTTGTACGGGTGGAACGTCTGTTTTTTTAATATCGTTTGGACACTTGTACGATTCACGCCGGTCGCGGTCTCAATGGCTAATTTTCTTGTACTCAGCGTACTATGCATGGCAACTTGGCCCAATACCAATACCTCCATAGCTTCATTTACTACAGGATTTTCCCTCTGCCTCTTTTTATTCATAACGGAACCAGTTTCGTGAAATTTCGCTACTAAATCGCGAACAATTTTGCCATAAAGGTGTTTGTCAGGATGGCGTTCATTGAATATCTGCGCAAACCGATTGCCACATTCATTATTTTTCAAAATAAAGTTCGATTATATCCACTTTTTCTGCAAGTGAGTACACCATAATTGTTAAAAAGTTTAACGATATTGAGAAGAACTTCAACGCACAAGTCACAGAACAGCTATCTAGCAACTACCGCACCTGATCGTTCAACCTTGTGGCAAGTGAAAAAATGCGTAAACATCTAGAAATAATAAGAAAAAACAGCAAATTGGTCGAAGGAATTTATCTTTATCATTTACTCTGATAAATGTTTAAATAAACTTTTCAAATTTCAATCCTTCATATTTTCTCAACGACTCGACCGATTTTCAAAAACGAAGCGGGGAAATATAGAGAATAGAAAGCTCTTTTCATTGCGGTGTCACTTGACCCCCCCTCCCATTTGAAAAAAGTTGAGGGATGACACCCCCGCTTAGAGGGTTGAAGATTTTGCAATCATTTTTGGGGAAAAAGTTGTCCCCCTCACAAACAAAATTGACGTGTTTTTGGATTTTCTGAAAAAAAATTACCCTGGCCGTTATGCCTTGCGGAACGTTTTCGATGGGCCACCCTGTATCTTAGGATTATGTGAAATGATCTGAAGGGAAACCAAACATGCAATAATATACAGGGTATTCCATTTAAAAAAAAATCATCCAGATCCACTCATACTTTTTTGGGCCACCGTATAGAAATTAAAATATTTTCCTGGAATACATCCTGGTACATACTTTAGGTCTGCACTTAAACAAAATTCTCAAGTTTTTTATTCTAGGAGCTACAGATGCCCGACGCACTCTTGCAGGACCCTGTAGTCAAAGTTAATTGTCCAGAAGAATCGTTTTTAGATGGGAATATTTGAAGTTTCTATAGTCGTCAAGATTGTAATCGAATATTTT